AGCTACAAGGTTTATGAATAAGTCTACATTAAAAAAGGCTGTAAAACTACTATACTCACCCTCCCTTCCACAGCAGACAGAATTTTATCTGTTTATTGATGTGTCAGAGGGTTCTCCCTAATTGCTTTTCGAAATGTTCTCAAGCTGGTAATGCAACACCAGCACAGAGGAAAATACTTTTTGATTTTTTGGCTGCCCAAATTTCCTGCATCAACGGTAGGCTATTGATATTTCACTGTCCTCTTGAGCTTTCTTGCTTGACTAATGCACTTTTCTGAGTTAAAAATTAAAGCATGGAAAAGCCTTGCTCATTGGAAAACTCACTTAAAGACAGGGGGAAAATGATCCATTGCTTTAGACAAAATCAATGGAAGGGCAGCATATTATGGTACTGAGGTTTGAAGAAACCCAATAAATAATGCACAAGAGGGGAAAAAAGAGAAATGTAAGAAATGCAGAATCAAATTCTGTAACTCATAAGAAGTCTGGTACAGGAAAGGCATCAGCCAGGAATTTTGAAGTATTTCAAGGCTGGCAATCAATGTTTAATAGTTAAATTTGAGACAGATTTCTTGTACATTGCTCTATCTTCCCATTCTTTTTTCATTGGAGACACAGCCTATATAGGTGAGAAGTGTGTTGTTTCAAGTGGTTTGGTTTTCCTTTTGTCAGATTTTTTAATGGTCGTGAGTTCTCTAACTGTGCCTCTACACCGTAGAATTAATGCAATTTAACAGCACTTTGATTGGGTTGCTGTGAATTTTCTGGGCTGTATGGCCATGTTCCAAAAGCATTCTCTCCTGACATTTCGCTCACATCTATGGCAGGCATCCTCTGAGGATGAAAGTGAACAAAATCTGGCTACCAATATTTAAAAATACTCCAAAATCAGGACAGTAAATAAAGAGCAACACTCAAAAAGCAAGGGAATTTAAGACAATAATCAATCAGGGCCAGCTAACACCTCCCAACAAAGGATTCCTCCAGGAAACAACCAGCCAGGTTTTGAAGCTGCAGGGCGATTAAGTGCTAATCAAGGTGGCCATTTGCAACATTCAAACTTGCCTCCAACCGGCAAGAGTTCTTTGTCCCACCCTGGGCCTTCCACAGATATATAAATTCAATTTTCCTAGGCTCTAACAGACCTCACAACCTCTGAGGATGCCTGCCATAGATGTGGGCGAAACGTCAGGAGAGAATGCTTCTGGAACATGGCCATACAGCCAGGAAAACTCATAATAACCATGAAAGTCTTCGACAGCTCTTTGATTATCCTGTCTCAATGCTATGGAAACCTGGGCTTTGCAATTTGGAAAGGCACCAGCACCCTTTGGCATGAAGGCCTTGTAAAACTATAACTCCCATGATTCCATAGCAGTTTAAGCGGCATCAATTCCACATTTTCAAGCCACGCTGGCTGCTAAAAGGCACCCGTAATGGCAAGGTTCCCCCAACTCTGCTCTTCCGTGTGTTTTGGACTTCAGCTCCCAGAATCCTTCACCATCGGCCACAGCAGCTGAGGCTTCTGGTAGTTGAAGTCCAAAGAATCTGGAAGATCAGGGTTCGTGAGTCACTTCCGCTTTTAAAAGCCACGCCCCTATCAGTACGTCATGGCGTCATTTCGTGAGGGGGAAACAGCAATCTAGTCTCCAGGAAGCCTCAATCGACTCCCGAGCAATAGATGCTCTCTCCAGGCCGGGGAGTTGCGACCGAGCGGATGAAAATGGCGAGGAGGCGGCGGCGGCGGCGGCGAGGGTACTGCGCATGCGCCCAGCGTCCACGCCTCTCCCTTTCCTTGCGCGGCCTCCGCCTTGGCCGGGGTTTCCTGCTCGGCGTCCCCGTTTCTCGGCTCCGGGGCGCCCCCTGCTGGCGGAGGCGACTGCCGGGCGCGGGCCTTTCATGGCTGGCGGCGGGGGACCAGGACCATGACCGATTACGGGGAGGAACAGCGCAATGAGCTCGAGGCCCTGGAGTCCATCTACCCGGACTCCTTCACAGGTAGGGGAGAGGCCGCCAAGCACGTGGGGGCCCTGGCACGCGGAGCCAGGCCGGGCCTGGTCCCTCTCCTGCCTCCCTTTCGCTTGAGCCCAGAACAGCTCTCCCCTTCCTTTCTGGCCCGAAGCAGGCCTTCCAGAGGCTCTCGGACTACAACTCCCAGAAGCCCTTGGCGCTGTGTCGTGGCAAGGGATGCTGGGAGTTGAAGTTCGGCTGTACTTTCCCCCAACTCTTTCAGACTGCATAGTAGGCACGGGCAAACTTGGGCCCTTCTTATATTTTGGACTTCAACTCCCACCGGTTGTTAGGAATTGTGGAAGTTGAAGTCCAGGAGGGAGGGCCCAAGTTTGCCAATACTACTACTACTAATAATAATAATCTTTATTTATACCCCGCCACCATCTCCCCAAGGGGACTCAGGGCGGCTTACATGATGCCAAGCCCATCAATACAATACATCAATAAACCAACACAACAATATAATAATAATAATAATCTTTATTTATACCCCGCCACCATCTCCCCGAGGGGACTCGGGACGGCTTACATGATGCCAAGCCCATCAGTATAAACCAACACAACAATAATATTAAACCAAAACATAAAAATACAATACAAAACCATTATAAATAACATATCAGCAATAAAACACAACATATTAAGAAACACAAGGATCCAACACTGTGGGCATGTAGATGTGTAGATGCTCTCTTACTAGAAGTTCAGGGGAAGAGCAACTTTAGCTGTACTCAGGGGCGGCTCAACCATTACGCAGAGTAAGCATTTGCAGTATAGTTGACTTTGCCCAGAGGCGTTCTTGGGGGAAAATAGACCTTGACATATGCGAGTTGTAGTTACTGGGATGTATAGTTCACCTACAATCAAAGAGCATTCTGAACTCCACCAATGATGGAATTGAACCAAATATGGCACACAGAACTCCCACGACGAACAGAAAATATATATCAGTGATTGGTTGGGGGGGGGGGCGCCAAAATACTGTTTGCTTACTATTGAAAATTACCTAGGGCCGCCTCTGGCTGTACTCCACGTTTTTTCTCTTAGAATCATAGAGTTGGAAGAGACCTCGTGGGCCATCCAGTCCAACCCCCTGCCAAGAAGCAGGAAAATTACATTCAGATCACTCCTGACAGATGGCCACACAGCCTCTGCTTAAAAGCCTTCAGAGAAGGAGCCTCCACTACACTCCGAGGCAGAGAGTTTCACTGCAAAAGTATGATAGCTGGGACTCTACGCTACACTAGTTGCTCAATGCAGCTCAGAATTAATGAAGAGAAGACATGCGTGAGGCAGTGGAGTGAGTGAGAGACGCAGCCGTGACAGGATAGCTGTGAAGTAATTTAATTCAGGTGGGAGAAGATAAGGGTGAAGTAATGTAAGACTTGAGCATCCACTGTCAGCCCTAGCTTCTGCCAACCTAGCAGTTCGAAAACATGCAAATGTGAGTAGATCAATAGGTACCGCTCGGCGGGAAGGTAACGGCGCTCCATGCAGTCATGCTGGCCACATGACCTTGGAGGTGTCTACGGACAACGCTGGCTCTTCGGCTTAGACATGGAGATGAGCACCACACCCCAGAGTCAGACATGACTGGACTTAATGTCAGGGGACTACCTTTACCTTTAATGTAAGACTTATTTAATGTTAAATGATAAACAACAGCTTATGAAGACGGTAAACAGGATAGAAATGTTCTGTCTCCCCCTTTCTGGCGAACAATGTTGACACGACGCAGCTGCGTCTCTCACTTGCTGCGCTGCCTTGCACACGTGTTCCCCTCATTAATTCAGACCCGCGTTGTGCAACCAGTGTAGGGTCCCAGCTATCATACATTTGCCCACTGCTGAACAGCTCTCACAGTCAGGAAGTTCTTCCTCATGTTCACATGGAATCTCCTTTCCTGTAGTTTGAAGCCATTGCTTCATGTCCTAGTCTCCAGGCCAGCAGAAAACAAGCTTGCTCCCTCCTCCCTATGACTTCCCCTCACATATTTATACATGGCCATCATGTCTCCTCTCAGCCTTGTCTTCTGCAGGCTATACATGCCCAGCTCTCTAAGCCGCTCCTCATAGGGCTTGTTCTCCAGAACCTTGATCATTTTGATCGCCCTCCTCTGAACACATTTCAGCTTGTCAACATCTCCCTTCAATTGTGGTGCCCAGAACTGGACACAGTATTCATCATTGTTTTTATTATCTATCTATCTATATCTATCTATCTATCTATCTATCTATCTATCTATCTATCTATCTATCTATCTATCTATCTATCTATCGTGCCATCTATATATTTCGAACCGAATGAGCAACATCCAAATACAATGGGTCCTGCCAAAGGTGTACAATTTAAAAAATATGTTTTCAGTATCACTTATCTGTAATGACTGGGACAAGAAGGGGTTTGGAATACAGACATTCCCCAAGTTACGAACAAGATAGTTTCCCTAGGTTTGTCCTTAAGTTGAATTTGTATGTAAGTCAGAACAAGTGCATTTTTAAAGGAGCTACGCATAAAAAAGTACCTGTGCACACTTACAAACAAATTCATCTTAAGAACAAACCTATAGAACCTATCTTGGGATTGCCTGTATACACTTACCTATGCAGGGAAGGAAAGAATAATACAACATAAAACTATGCTATGTAAACAGCTTATATAGATAAATATATAACATTGCTATAGAATATAAAGCAACTAATCAATACAAGTCATCACAATATATAGTATTATAGCACATGAATATATAATATTCCCTTAAATGCTTGCAGGGCAAGTGGCAGATCTCAGGAACTTCGTAGCAGGGTTAGATCGAGGCTTTTCTTGCTGACTTCAAGGCCCATGAAAAGGACAAATGGTGTAATCTTGATTTGTGTTATCAAAGGCTTTTATGGCTGGAATCACTGGGTTTACTTATTTACTTACCCCAGGAGGGACTCAACGCAGTTTCCAACAGATTCACCGCAAAATTTAATGCCTCACAAAAATATGAAAACCTAATATAAACAGAATAACATAAAACTGCCCATTAAATCATAAAATGTAACAACATTAAAACGTGAAATTGAAACATTTTAATACAAACATTAAAATCACATGATCCAAAAGCATAGTCCAGGCTATTCCAATATCAAATAATTGCACATAATCCTCATTTTCCAGGTCATATGGCAATATTCCATACAGCCCTGAATGTGGGGAGAATGCTTCTGGAACATGGCCATACAACCCGGAAAACTCACAAAAGTTATCTTGATTTGTCTCATGAAAAGTTATTCCTCTGAAGCACTTTGTTTCAGCAAGGTATCCTATCTCTGTGTTGCGAATTATGAAGACAAAGTGTGCTGTTTTAGTAGTTTCAACTCTACAGCTCATCCTTGTAAATCCATCAACCAGTGTAGAGTCATCTGATAACCAAAGGCCCACCAGGTTCATTACAGTCTAGAGTAGGTCACTTAGGCCTGCAGTGAAGACTCATATAACCCAGTTCAAAGCAGATAATCTGGAATGAGATATTATATTACAGTGCAAATCCAGCCATAGACAATTGGCCCATCCAGCTAAAGGTGCAGCTGTATTGTAGAATTAATGCAGTTTGTCACCATTTCAATTGTCATGACTCAATGCTGTGGAATCATGAGAGGTGTAGTTTGCTGGGGCACCAGCACTATGGCTGAAATAGCAAAAGGTCTTGTAAAATTACAACTCCCATGACTCCATAGCATTAATCCATGACAGCTGGTGGTGTCAAACTACATGAATTCTGTAGTGTAGATGCACCCCATGTCTACACCAATGTGCAGGTTCTAGTCGGAGATTTTAAGATCTGTTTTTTAAAAAAACCTTCAGCATGAAAATCATGCATTGTTCCATTGAAGTATGTTAATTCTTTGAAGGCTTCTGGATATGATTTCTCTTCATGTTATGACAAATCTTGATAATTTGATCTCCTTGGACTGTCTATAAAGTTTAAACTTAATTTAATCTTTAAAAGAAACAAAGAGAAGCAACATTTCAGAAAGACATTGTTTGCTTATTGCTTTTTACTTTCTTCCACAGTATTATCAGAAAATCCTCCAAGTTTCACTATCACTGTGACGTCTGAAGCAGGAGAGAATGATGAAAGTAAGTTATGTGCTTTTAAAGTCAAATGGAAAGAGTTATCTATTAAAGAATCCTCTCTTTCAGGAAATTCTTCAAAATATGGCACAAATCCAAAGGGTGATGGAAACAATATGCTAAAATAATCAATATATGAAAGTAGCAGGAAATCAAAGCTCACAATAAGCACTCAACTGGCTTGGACAAGTCACAATTGCGAGTTTTCAGCCATTTAGAGCAGGAATCCTCAAACTAAGACCGACAGGCTGCATTCATCCCTCCAAGGTCATTTACCTGGCCTCCACCCTAAACTTTAGACTTAGGGTTGCCCCAAGTCTGAAACTACTAGAAGGCACATAATAACAACAATTCTAATTAACCTGGCTGACAGGCCCGTGCTACCCATTGAAATACTGGTACGTTTATGTTGGTTAAAATTGTTTGTTTTCGATATTGTAATGTTCTTTCAATTTTTTGCACTACAAATAAGATATGTGTAGTGTGCATAGGAATTTGTTCACCCCCCCCCCCACCCCACCCCCAACTATAATCTGGACCCTCAACAGTCTGAGGGACTGGGAACCGAGCCTCGGCTTAAAAAGCTTGAGGATCCCTGATTTAGAGTGTTGAAATCTTTATGTAGTAAAGAACAGGAGCTTTGTTGATTTTTTGTTATTAAACTTTGTAAATTTTGTTATTATTGATTTAGACTCATCTTCACAATACAATTCTCCTAGATTGTTTTGATGCCCATTAATGAAGTGATAGTAGTAGTTGAATAAGTTATTTCAGTGGCAGTGCATTTGCTTGGGTTTTATTATAATATTCTCTCTATCCTGAAAAATACTCAGAAAACCAGAAAGGATTATTACAGTGGTCTTTCGGGGGTAAATAATTGGATCCATGTGCTGAACAGCTTTACCAAATAGCTTGGCACGTGAATGGCCTGTCCCCAGTCTATCTACATACCAAATATGCATGCTATAGTAGTGGTTCCCAACCTTTTGTCCTCCAGGTGTTTTGGACTTCAGCTCCCACAATTCCTAACAGCTAGTAAGATGGCTGGGATTTCGAGGGGTTGAAGTCCAAAACAACAGAGGATCAAAGTTTGGGAACAACTGTGCTGTAGACATTACATTTGCCATATTGCTTGGTTTCTTTCTTTTGTGCCTTACATCTATCTCAGAACTGGTTTATGCTGATAGTTTGAGATGTACCGCTGTATTCAGACATCACCAGCATAGCCTGATATGGTAATGCACAGTGTTCAGTAACTCCCACTTGACTCTTCCTGCAGTCTGTAAGCTTACAGACTGTAAACCTTCTATTTGTGGTTGGTTTGTTGTAATGCATGAACATGGAACTGTGGGTTTTCTAGTCGCTTGCAACGAATAGCCATGAACCATTTATTTATTCCTGGCTTATGAGTCTTCTTTCCTGGCAAGCCAGAGTAACAGATTCACACAACAAAATGAACACACCTTGTGTGGAAAAACTGTATTTTGTTCAGCCCTTCCTGCTTGCTCTGGGGAGCTGTTGGGCAGTGTGCACAAATGTTCTGCATGTAAACAACATGGCAAAGCTCTCCTGCTCTGGGACATATGAACCAGGCTGCTTGTAGTTTCAATAATGTTAAATGTTACTATTGAAGTTGGAAGTCTGAACCTATCACTGTTAATATTTTTTTTTTCATTATAGGTGTCCAGACGACCCTCAAATTCATTTATCCAGGGAACTACCCAGATGAAGCCCCCCTTTATGAATTGCTTTCTCAAGAGAGTCTTGAGGATAGGGATGTTACTGACATACTGAAATTATTGCAGGAGCAGGTGGGTGCCTTGTTTAGATTTTACAGTACATTGATGATGACTGTATAGGAGGACTCCTACCTGCAACCTCCTGAATCTGTCCATCCCTAGAGATTTGTAGGGACCTGTTTAAAATTGTGGATATGGACTACCTATTGTGAATTTAAAAAAAAAATAAAATGTAACACAAACGGTTTTTTTAAATCTGCCATATCAATATTAGGCTCCTTTATTAAAGTGAAAGATATTTCCTTTTGTGTTTCAGGCAGAAGAGAACCTTGGTATGGTAATGATCTTCACACTAGTATCGGCGGTGCAAGAGAAATTAAATGAAATAGTAGATCAGATAAATACAAGAAGAGAAGAGGAAAAGAAACAAAAGGAGAAAGAAGCAGAGGAAGCAGAAAAGGTGGGAGAAATAATGTAAAGTTATAAATATTAGCAAGCATTTTGATGGTTAAACACACTACAAGGCTAAGAGAAGAACATAGCAGTTCTTCAGTTAGCATGGTAGCAATGACTATTATTTTAAAATGGGATGGAGTATAAAATCAATTGAAACCAAGTTGGGTAATATTTCCTAATGGTTGGAGGGATTAATTCTTTTCCTTTACCAACCCCCCCCCCCCCCCAAAAAAAAACCCATCACATGGTAGGTAATTTGCCTTCCATTTTACGATTCCTTTTCAGAAGGCTAAACTTAGTAGTTTCCAAAGCATATGGGAAATATACGTTGGTATGTTAATCCATTAGAATATGAACCAAGCAGCAGCCAAGGTTAATATAATATTTGGAGAGGTTGGATGCCCACTTGTGAGAGAGGTTTTATTTATGGATTCTTGCAGAAGCAGTGAGTTGTTTTGGATGACCGTCCAATTCTTTGATTCTAGGAAGATCTTTTTGTCTGCACTGATTACACTGGTCAGCACACATTTGGTGCCTCAAATGGTAGGCCTGTGTCTGGGTATGTTTGACCTCTTGATTCCAAAAATGGCACCAATTTTTCCCCATCAGCTCTAATTTTTGTGATGCAGAACATAAAACATTGCTCCCTTCCTAGAAGGGCTCCCTCCCTGCTAGCATTAAGGAATCAAGTAAAAACTTTCATGTGGAAGCAGGCCTTCCCTGAAGGAGAATAAATGCCAGATCTATCAGGTGTAATGTTTGTATTGAAATGGACCTCCGGTAGTGGACCTGACTACGGCCTAAAGGAACTGATACTAGATGGAGTTTTTAATCTATTTCAATCTATTGAATGTTTAATTGTATTCTTTGCTTGGATGGTAATTGCATCGATTCGTGTTTTTATAATTTTTATTAGATACGATTATGTTTATGATGGTGCTGTTTATTTTTATTGAATGTTATGTTTTTGCTTTTTATGTGTTGTTTGCTGCTTTAAGTCCCGACCCGGGAGAAAAACGGGATATAAATCAGTTAATAATAATAACGATAACAATAATACCAATCAACCCCCAAAAAATCATGATAACCATATCTCAGAAACGGGAGCTGTTGTGGTCTATCCAATGCACTTTTGTGGATAAGCACCCCAAATAAACCCTGGAACAGGTCTAAAAACCAAGACACCCAGGATCTTTTTTTGTTGGGCTGTGTTATAATTGGTTTAATGTGCATATTGTAAGAAATTAGTGTGTTCCAATTATCACTTCCACTTATAGCCAGTATGCTCAAAGAGAGCCTGTCAGTCCAAATCCAGCAGGACCTATAAACCTTGTTTCTATAATTTTTTTTAGCAAACAAGTGGGGAAAAACAAGTGAGAGCACCATCTCCTCCCAGGTTTGGGTGAAAGACTAAACAAGCCATGGACTTGAAGTTTCATGGTTGGTTTAGTCACATGAATGATCTACCAAATAGCACAGGCGAATGTGCTCAATGTCCCTTATATTTACCTCTTCTTGGTTTTCAAAATATGTAGCACGTGTTTCTTCAAATTCCATTTGCTTATGCTTAGTATAGGAGCAGGTCATAAATGAAGGCTAACTCTGTATGTGAGCTTTTTACATTTTTATATCAGAAGATATCCGCTTGAAGAGGTCACATCCAAAGACAAAAGACACAAATCCTGTATTGTTTTTAGTATGATGGGGCATTGCATGATTTTTGAGAGTGTAACCAGGTGGCGGGTTCATGCTGTTGTAGTGAGTGCCCAGATTGCCTCTGACTATGTGAAGCAAGGATAGTTCTGATCAGCAACTCGGGCTAGCATAGCTAATGCTGAGGAAAGCTGAGTTTAGCAGCTCAGCAACATTTGGAGACCTCCATAAATTCCCATCCCTGATCTAAAATAAAGATGTCCACAGGCTTTCTCAGTGTGAAAGGACGCCTTTGGTTTTTGTGTGTCTTGGGGATTTCCCTGCTTTTCTACATTTGATATTTGTGGAGTATAGAACCTGGTCCCATTCTTCTGCTTTCTTTTTCCCATTTGAGAGCAGGATCAGTGTGTTTGTCCACACTGCTACCTTTAAGAAACAGAGTTTCCAGCTTGAATGACACTGTCCTTATAGGATCACTCTTTGGTAGACCTTTTTTTTTTTTTTTTGAAGGAAAAAAAAATCATTGTTTACAATTGTATTGTTTTCAGACTTGGGAGTGAATATAATGATCGCATGATTGGAGTATTAAAAGATCCCATGTCCTTGGTTGAATTGTTCTGCATTTGCCATGATCTCTCCCTCCCCTTTTATTTTGTTATAGCAAACCTTCCATGGCACTCCCGTCACCATTGAAAACTTTTTAACCTGGAAAGCAAAATTTGACACTGAACTTTTAGAAATCAAAAGAAAAAAGATGAAAGAAGAAGAACAGTCTGGGAAAAATAAACTAACAGGTAGGATGTGTCACTTGCCTTCAGTCTCCTATCTTGCCAGGGCAGGGTTCAGCAAAGTATGCCCCCCCAGATGATGTTGGACTGCAATGCCCATCATCCATTGCCAACACGGCCAGTAGTTAGCAATGCTGTTAGTTTCAGTTCAGCAGCATCTGGTAGGCTCCAAAGTCATGTCACAAATGCCGAGACTTTGTATTTTACATGTTTCCTTTGTTCTAAGGCAAAGAGAAACATGACCAATGATACAGTGCAGGCAATATTATTCACAAGTAAGCCATTAATGACTGATTTTCGTATATTGCTTGACCATGGGCCAGTTGTATATGCATGATATTGGCTGGACTTGTCGGTTCCTACTCCATTCTGTTTTTGTGTAGTTCTGAAAAGACTGGAAAAATCCACTTTTAAATAGAAATATTTTATTTATTTATTTATTTATTTATTTACTACATTTATATCCCATCCTTCTCACCCCGAAGGAAGTCACGGTGTCTCACAGCAGAGGCACAATTTGATGCCTTGAATACATATAAAATAAAACAACATAAACTTTAAAATCACATAAATAGTACACATCACTTAAATTCATTACTTAAAATCACACAGTCCAAAAGCATATTCCAGGAGCCATTCCAATTGTCATTGTTCATTATTGCACTGAGAAATCGTTGTTGCACTGGGATAATGTGTTCTTTCTAAACTTGTCTGGCTTGTCTGGTTTTTGTGGAGGAAGAGGAACAGGAACATGTGAGTGCAAGACTTTTATCAGCTCACATACAACACTGTGTGGTTTAGCACTATATCTAAATTGTCCAACTCTTTAGAGCAAACATTTTCAGCATTAAGCACTGAACGTAAGAGATAAGAATATTACAGACCCAAATATTTTCAAAAATCCAAAAAGCAAACCTTAATTTAGTCATTATTTAGTCATTATAATTTAGAAGGAATACCATTTAACATCATTATATAAAATGGTACTAGAACCAAACCACAACGGATTCCAAGGGCCTATTGCAATTAGTTAAATGGGGCTGAATTTCTAGATAATCACCTATAGAGCTAAATATATTGATATATAATTGTAACCATCTTAGTTCTAGTAACTATGAACTAATTTATCCCTACTTTTCTCTCACAGGAAAACAGCTGTTTGAAAGAGATCATAATCTTGACACATCTGACATTCAGTTTTTAGAAGACGGTAACATGTTTCATTTATTCCTACTTTTAATGCTATATATCAGGGTGGGTAGAGTGCATTTTTGTAGCCCTCAGAAATAATAAAAAAAAGTTGTTTTGCTACAAAATGCACCCAAAAACATTCTGGGAGCTTAGAAGGCGCTTCCACCTCATTAGGTGTCCCTCTGGGACCTCCAGGAACCAAAGACATGTTTTGTATAAACTTTAAAACAATTGCCCTGAAATGTCCCTTGGGGAGTGTGGAATGCATTTTTGCCACGTTTTGCGTTTCCCCCAGGCAGATTTATGACCAACAGTCCTTTTTAAAAAAACAACAGCAGGTGAAAATGTCACTTGTGCTCCCAGAGGGTGTTTGAGGACAAAAAGCAAAAAAGAAAAGAAGAAAGTTTCAGTTTTATTTTGAAGGAGTAGCTGCAGTTGGGAGATGTGCCTTCCAAAGTCATCTCAGGGATTAATTCAGTTCCCGTCCCCTGTAATAAATGTTCCTTTTTTAAAAAAAGTATCAATATGAACTAACTAAATGCTGTCTCCAGTATTTGTTAAAGGAGATTTAACTTTCCTAGTACACACTTAACAATGAGATTCTGGAGTTTAATGAGAAGATTTGGTGCCGCAGAAGGCAAACACTCATCTGTCTTCCCACATTCCTTCCTCCATGTGATGAACTTTCTGTTGGAAGCAGACTTTTCTTGGAGGAAGGAGATGGAGTGACAGAAATGGGTAGAAGGTAAATTGGTGTGAGATGGAAGAACAAATAAAAGCTGTTAGAATTGCAGTCCAGAAGAGGTCACTCTAATACCACTGGCATGTTTTACCCACCTACAATGGGTAAACATCACCATTCTAGTTTGGTTCAAGTTATGCTCAGATTCAAAAGAGTTATGTAGTTATCATTCCAACTCAAAACCTTATGGAAAAGTGAAAAGATATGCAGGCCTCCCCCCTGTCTGCATCTAGATTTCATTTCAAAACCCTTTCCCCAAGCTGCTTTTTAAAACTTCAGTCAATGTGGTGGAGGCTCATTTGGAGGCTTTTAAACAGAGGCTGGATCGCCATCTGTCAGGGGTGCTTTGACTGCGATTTTCCTGCTTCTTGACAGTGGGTTGGATTGGATGGCCCATGTGGTCTCTTCCATCTCTGTGATTTTATGATTCTATGATTCTGAGCACTCAAAATATGTGGTTGGAAGAGCAATCACAGGCGGGCAGGTGGTTGTTCTTCCATCTTCTGTTACTCCACTCAATCTTCCTATTGGACCAGGGTTACTTTGAACTAACAAAAGCTTTTTAAATACAAAGCAAAGCTTGAGGAGCTCTATATTGTTTGCCTTTTGTATCTGTGGTCCAGCCAATGATGGAAGTGATATGTTTATTTACTTTTGAATGATCATCATTTCAGAACAGGTTGACTTTCTTCTGAGGAATTCTGTTATCCAAAATACTCCAAAATCATCCACATGGGTGGCTGAGATAGTGACACCTTTCTTTTCTGAAAAGTTCAGTGTACACAAACTTTGTTTCATGCACAATATTATTTTTAAATTGTGTATAAGATTACCTTCAGGCTATGTGTGTAATGTAGATCTAAAACCTAAATGAATGTCATTGTTTAGACTGGGGTCAAATCTCCAAGGTATTTCCTTTTATATATATGCAAGTGTTCCAAAATAGGGGGAAATGGTCAGGAGTGATGCTTTTCATCCATGTTACAGTACTTTGAATAATTTCTGACTGCATTGTGGACGGTGTCTTCGTGTCTCTCAATATGTTTAGGTCGTAGACAGCAGGATTTTGCTAAAGTATCTCAAAAGACTTCCCGGACAACCCATTTGTTAATGGTTTCTTCCTTTCTTTTTCTTCTTCCAGCTGGAAACAGTGTGGAAGTAGATGAATCCTTGTTCCAGGAAATGGACGACTTAGAATTGGAAGATGAAGAGGACGACCCAGATTACAATCCCGTCCATCTAGACAGCGACTAGACTGAAATTACTGCGCTTCCTATATTTGTCACCAGATTTGAACATTTGTACAGAGAGAGACCATGATATGCTTGGGTTCCCTTTGAAAAATATTTCCATGCCAGGAAATTTCTCTTTTGGCAGCTTTCATCATCATAGATAATAAAAGGACTTTAATAATTGAAATATAATTTGCTTATCTCTCTAGCCTTCTTAAGGAAACTAAATCACATTGTACTGTGAACAAATTGTAGAGCTGTGGCCTAAGTTTGCTGCTTTGGATGCAAAACAAAACAAAGCAAAACAAATCTCATATTTTCTTCATTCTCCACAAACAGGAAAACCAGTTATTCTAACAAGATGCTGAAGCCTGAAGCTCTCAGTTTTAAATTCAATACAGACTATGTATGGAACAAATATAAATATGTAGAGCAGGATGATGGGATTTAAGACTGACTTGAAAAACTTCAAAGTCTGGTGAGACTTCAGGCCAAGAATTTAACAAGATGCCAATGACTATGATTGTTGTTGCGGAGTGCAATTTTTGCAGAAGACATTTTGTTGAAATCTAGGATCAGTGAATGGCTGGAGTTTACAGACTTGCCATGCGCAGTTCCTTTATTTTCATAGAAAATAAACACCTATGTTCAGTTATTATAAATAAGGCATGTTAGTTCAGTGTTCTATTTCTTACCGGCATTTACTCAAGTCTAATGCACGCCTCCATTTTCAAAACACAAACCAATAAAAGTATTTGCTGCTGAATGTAATATGCAGCAGCAAAAAGTGTACTTTGGTCCAAAAGGTGTGCATTACTACTGTTGCCTGCTTAGAATTCCTTCAATATAAACAATTGTGTGAAGAACACCAAAGCTTCTAGTGAAGGAAAATAAAATCTTGGGGGTGCATCTATGCTGCAGAATGAATCCACTTTAATTTCCTTGGTTCAGTGCCATGGAATGCTGTATTTTTTACAAGGTCTTGAGCCTTCTCTCCAAAAGAAAACTGCCTCACCAATCTACAAATCCCATAGCGTAGCATTGAGCCCTGGCCATTTAATTTGAGATGACGTCCCTTAAAGAGGAGCTCCAGATGCACCTCCTGAAGCAGCATCCCTTTTTGCTTTGGCTTAACACTAACGCTACTGTAGTATGCGAATCTAATGCGCACCCCAATTTTGACAAGGTCATTTAGCCAAAAAAAGGTGAGGATTAGATTCAACTAAGTACAGTATTTAATATCTCACTTTTCTCCTGGGACAGGACTCATAAAGAACTTTCTGGTAGAAGCCAAGGGTTCTCATCCTGACTTGGCTTCAGAAGGGACCATCCTGTTTGTCAGCATGGTTGAATTTAATCCCATAAAGCAATATATACAGCAATAGAAATACTAAATAAACATGCTACTCACTGGAGAACTCAAGCTTCTTCCTATTTTGTCCCACACTCTGACCTTGGCCCAGAGTCTCAATCTCTTCTGTAACAAGTGTCTCTCAAGTTACTCTGTCCACAGTCTCTTACACAAGCATCAGAGCACCCTAAAACATTTCTCACACAGCTCACTACATGACTATTTTGACACTCATGGAAAAATCCACTTTCGTTTTATCACAGCTAGTACTATCTGCAATGTCATCTATTTGGTTTTCAGTCAATATCTTTTCAAGGAGGTTGCACAATTTCATGACAGCTTCCTAAGGAGAACAAAAAGCCATCTCATCCGACAGGTTTCCTGTGCCTTACTGTAACCAATTTCACCCTGAAGATTTGTCCAAAGAAGCTGATTTTCCTGATGCCGATAGTATTCCATGTGTAGAAAGTGCTATGCCTGCAGAATGACCTGAACTTTGCTCAGTTGTTAGAAAAACTGTAACTACTAGAAGCTGTGTTATTACCATATTTTGCTGCAGACAGACTTGTTGGAAGGAATGTTACCTCCTTGGGGTAAAATCAATGGTTTTGTCTGTAATCCAGACTTCTTAATTGACAGTATGACATATATATTGCATTGTTATATTTGAGCATTTCCTGTAGATTATAGATATCTACTAAAAAACTAAACTGAAAAAATATCTGAAAACAACATTGGCACATGTAATAATATAACAAATTACATTAGGACATATTAACTACCAAAAATAGGAACAAGGAAAAGACTTAAAAAGAAAGTAGGGGGACACATGGCTTTGCTTTTGGACACTCATGGTGGTAATATTTGTTTTTTTAATCAATTTTCTCTAATACAAACATTATTGTTATTTTATTTATCTTTAAATTGAGGAAACATAAGTATTATTCTACTGATAATAATATCTACTACTCCCCAAATACTATTATTGATGACTTACTCCAATGACCTCTTAAATATGCAACAGAAAGTGATAGAGCATAATTTGATGGTGGTGGTATTTGAATGTGCTCCTCAATGTAATATCCCTAATATTAATTCTTCTGAATGAACTCCAGGGCTTACCCTAACAGTCTGGTATGTATTCGACTAAATACAAATGTTTCTTCATCAACTCTCATAAATGGTTGGTAATGCACTTGGAAGATCTCATGGCTAAAATCAATTTCAGCTGAACAGTTGAAATTAATCAAAAGGAAAAGTTTAAAAGGGAATATGCAAGCTAAAAATATATATGTGTTAATATTTGTTCGTTTTCTACATAAGATGATGATGCTGGTCTAAGGTGGGCAACTGATGTAGTCAGCGTTGTGAAACGTATCCTGGAGCCAGGAAACGCTGTCTAGCACATCTGCTTCTTCAGTCCCATTTTGATGTCCTTTATGATAAATCAAGCTCAAAATGTTCTGCATCAACAGTACCTGTATATTAAATATGAACGGCTTGATTGAATTCTTCTCAAGGCATCAAAATAGCATATACATTAAATATGAATAGCTGGGAGAGGGAGGACCTAATGGAGAATAAGTGATTATAAATACATCGCTGTCTCTGATTTCAAAATCCTCCAGTTTATCCAGGTATTCGGGGTTAGCTAGGTCTTTCAGAACATAATACCCTTTTTATTCGATCAGGTATTTCCCTAATGATTCAATTGCTAGTAGCAATTGCAGAACAATTCAGAAATTGACAACAGTTCTTCCTTCTATTATGACAGGAAAATTTTCTTTCTCAATTATTCAAACAGAAGCAGGGAATTGTCAGAATGGTGTACCTAACCAGACCCCAGAGTTTATGTGGCTTTTTGGTTGTTTTGCTGCTGTCACTTTGCTGTAGTTCCATCATTGATATGTATTCTCCATCTGGTTTCACCTAATCCTCCAAGTTTTCTCACACTGCCCTTACACGCTGCCCTTTATCCCAGTATCCAATCCCAGATTATGTGTTTTAAACTGGAATATACGAGTCCCTACTACCAGATAACCTGGGATAAACAGATAATCTGGGACCAGATCCTGGGATATAGTTACAGTGTGGAAGGGCCCTCAGGCCCCTTCTACAAAGCTGTATAAAATCAACATTATCTGCTATGAACTGAATTACAGAGCAGTGTAAACTAAGATAATCGAGTTCAAATCAGATAATGTGGATTATCTGGCAATGCAGAAGGGGGCTCAATTTCTCTCATCTGGAACAAATGGGAGGGAGGACAAACATGGAGGGTGCTTGCAATAAGCCACTGAATCATCATTTGAACAGAAATGTCAGTATCAACTTTGTTCCACATTTGTCCTGCTATAATGACTATGGACTTTAAAAAAGTGAAACCTTGAAATGTAGCCCAACTAATAGTGCAAATGGATATTAGTTGGACTGGCTGGAGAGCCAGTTCACAGTTCCTCAAACTGTTGGGAGGGACCAACTTTAGTTGTGTTTGGGTGCGTGGGCAGATGCTGCCCATGCCACATATGCACGCACACATGCACTCTGCCACTGCCACAAAAACCTCACCATATGCATGCACGCCTCCGCCACATTTGTGCTTGCATCTGTGGTGGTAGTGGCAGGGGATGGCCTTCATGGACCTGATTTGGCCCAGAGGCCATAGTTTGGGGACCCCTGACTCAAATGATAGTGATATGAAGACAGATTGTTACAAAGCTGCAGCCCATGAGAGTGGCACTTTCTCTGAATCTGAGAATGATGTATCCTTCAAACCAGGCTCCGTTTAAGTAGTAAATGTCACACTAATGATTAGCTCCTGTGGCCTATGAATTGCTCAGAAATATCCTAACACTTCTTTTGCAACCTTAGTGCTGTGAATTGTCTTGTTGCCTGGCTGCTCTCCTGTTTTTGCTTGTTTCTGTTTTTGCCTTTTGGTCCACTCTGTTACTCCATGTTTGATAATAATCGAATGTGGAAGACAATGGGACAGGAAAAGAGGGTTGTACAATCTGTCCTATTTGAAGCAGAGAAATGCTCCTCAAAGATCCAATCAAATGCATCTACTAAGTCTACAGAAGTAGAGATAGGAAGAGAGATGAATGCTAGTCATGTGCTGAACTATCATATATCCAGTAGGGATTAGCTATAGTTTGCTCCCATCTCTCTTTTTTGATCCTGACCAATGAAAAACTGCCTGATCAGCTTGACTGTGCCATTTATATATTTCATAGGTTACATATTATATTTTAACAATATTAAGTCTATAACCTGTAAAGTATTTTAACTGTAAACTGTTAATCTGTGACAAGAAATGTTTTATGCTCGGTTCTCTGAACAGATCTTTGGTTTGAAGGACACTCTTGGAAAATGCTTTCACAGTCTCTTTTTTTGTATCATTTGTTGTGTGTGTGTGGGTGCACATGTGTGTGCGCACATGCTTTAGCCTTTCAAGTGTCTGAGGAAGGAAAGGAGAGCAGGTTTTTCTTAGCAAATTCTGTCACTAGTCTGTTTATATTAATTTATTCCCAGAATTCAATAAAAAGTATTAAGCAGCAATGTCTGATGTTCTTCCAATATATTTTTTTCATAAAATATGACAGGTAGAAAATTTGACATACATTAGATAGTGCAAGAATTAAGAATTAATTATTAGCACATGAGCTAACGCCTAATCAAGTCCCATTAAAAAAGATTCTTGCAGAGAAAAGGCCATGAACAATTCTGGTGGATATAAGAAGGAAAGCTTCTATCCATATGTGTGCCACCTTTCAAAGTGGTTCCTAACCTTTGGGCTTCCAGGTGTTTTGGCCTACAAATGCCAGAAATCCCAGCCAGTTTACCAGCTGTTAAGAACTATGGGAGCTGATGTCCAAAATACCTGGAGGCGGAAAGATTGGGAACTGCTGTATACATCTACACTGAAGAATTAATGAAGTTTGACACCTCTTTAACTGCCATGGCATAATCCTATGGAATCATGGGAGTTGTATTTTTACAATGTATTTAACCTTCCCTGCCAAATAGTGCTGATGCCTCACCAAACTACACCTTCTATAGGTCCATAGCATTGACCCACGATCATTCAAGTGGTGTCAAACTGCTTTAATTCTACAGTGTAGATGCATTCCAAGACTCCTTTAATGTTATGTGAGTGCCTCTTTTCAGGACTAATACCCAAGCTAACAGTATCTATCAAATTCCCTTGCTGATCTATGCCAGCTACATGGGTAAGGGGCACCTCTCATTGGCTGAATCACCATTGGGAGGGGCAAAACCCCAAGGAGAACCACTTTAAGTGTAGTATAAAATGGGGGAAGGGGAGGGGCTGCTCCTGCTGTTTTCAGTGTCCTTTCCAACTCCCGTGTCTATGGCCCTCTTGACACGATGAGATCCTCCTCTGAGTTACCTGAATGTCAGCCTGCACAGTATATATTAGCCAGAGCCAGCACATGCACACATGTGCTTTCACACTCACAGCCTTCTGCATTGTCTTGTGCTGACCTGAACAGGTTTGCAAATTTCAAACTTTGCCCTATGAAAAATCAGGAAAAATTATTCCTTGACATACATACCCAACATTTCAGCTTCTCATTTCCAAGTAAGATCTAACCGGGCTTCCTGGACCCTGGGAAGATCGCTCACTTTTCTTCTCTAGTCTTGCTGTGAACTAGGCTAGTGTGTATTGTTCAAGGACCTTGTCACATGTACCACTGAAGGAGTCCTGGATCGCTTCATTCTGCTGGCGCACATTGGGCACGATGACCCACCTCCCCATGCTCCATTCTGTCACGGTGTCTTCTCTTCCTCATCACATGAGGACGGCCCTTTTTTGGCAGCTCGACCTATCTTTCCTTATGGAAAGACGGGGAACCTGCTATTGTCTGCCGTCACAATTTTTTCGGCGGCAGCAGCACTCCAACCACGGAGCCACCTGGAAGTAGTTGATTGGAGTGTGATGGAAGGCATCGGGTTATGTGGCCGAAGAATAAGAATCCAGCTACCACTACCAAAAAAAGGTACGTGTGAAGAGGTTGTAAGTCCCAAAACCTTGACACACTTTCTAGATGCATTAAGAACAGTCAATATTTGGCTGAGCATTGTTTTCTTGTTCTAATTGCACACTTTCAGGTTGCCAACGGCCTTCTTTATTTCTCAACATTTGTGATGACTTCTTAAATCTGCTCATTTCAATTGTCAAAATTCCTATGTGATCTCTTTTTTTGGAGCTATGTTTACCCTGTTTATTGCTTGTTTCTATTGACACAATAACATTCTCTTAGGCTGTCTAAACCAGGGGTATCAAATTCATTTCCAGCAAGGGCACATCAGCCTTATGCTTGCTTTTAAAGGGCCATTGAATCCATGAACAGAGAATCCATAAAAACAGAGTGCCAACTATATATATATATATATATATATATATATATATATATATATATATAATTACATACGTAGTAGTCAAAGCTGTTTAGTTAAATACATAAATAAATAAATTTCTATTTGTATATCACCCTATCTCCCCAAAAGGACTCAGGGCAGTTTCCAATATATAAGGCAAAACATTCAATTGCAAAGAAGAAAACCATACAATCAGATTAAAATAAAAATATCATAAAACACAAAAATCATACTAGAACCAACAATAAAAATTTAAACCAATTGCAACTATAGTTTTTACCCAGTTTGGGTCACCAGATGTTATTGAATGACAACTCACATCACTTTTGATCCCCTGCTATGTGAATTGGGGAAGATGTAGTCTGTCAATTTCTAGAGATTCCAATTCAGCTTTCCTTTGGGATAACTGCTCAAATTGTATGATTATTTGTTCTTTTGTGTATTATTGATAGTTTTGCAACTCTTCTGTCAGTTTATTTCTCTCCATCTTCAATGTTGAGCCCTCCATTGTAAAATTGCCTCTAACTACTGCCTTCGTGGTGTCCCATTTGAGTTGTGGGCTGTATTCTTCTTTATTGTTCCAATCATAAAAACTATGTGCTGCTTCATAATTTCAACTATTGAAAAAGAGAGCATTATTTTGCTTCCATGATCTTATCATGTGTGTTTTTAATTCTGACCCCCATTTTGCTATTAAAGAATGCTCTGAACACAAAACTTGGACAAAAATATATTTATTATTTTGGAATAATATTTTCTGTTTTTGAAATGTGATCAATCTTTGAATAACTGGCATGTCTTCCTGAATAAAACATTTAATCGCTTTCCTTGCGATGTAGTTTTCTCCAATATGCATCTATTACATTGTTTTTATTGAGGAGAGAGAATATTTTATGCTCTTCCTTATTTTTCCTTTTATTTGTGGCAGAACTGTCTAATTTCTTGTCTATTATGCCGTTAGTGTTACCACCTATGAATATCACAACTTCTGCGGTTTTTTAAACATTGCCTCAGTATTGACTGCTTGATTTTTATTCCTGATGTAATAACACCCTACTATTGATATATATATCTTTCAAACAATCAATAACTTCAAGATTGCAGAATTTCAAAATTGTTATCTGAATCTTCTATTCCATTCTGACCGAATTGTTCCACAAAGTAATTCTGAGATTGAACCTTTTTGCTTCCTTTTTTCAGTTGCGTTTCTTGTAAAAACACACAATGTGTGATTTCAAATTATTTATAGAATTCCAAACCCAGATGGAGAATTTAGAAAAAGAAAGCACCTGTTCTCTAACATCTACTTTGTTTGGGAAAACCCACTTTCAAAAGTTCCAGTTTCCTCTAGAAGGAACATTGTTAAGGACATCAAGAGAAATCTCTTATATTATCACTCTTATAATAAGATATTCAATAAGATCATTACCTGTATTTCAAAATTAGAATGCTGTAAGAGGATAATTGTAAGCAGATGTTTCATCATCTGTTTCCAAGCAATATGGATTAAATGCATGCGTGACGTAATTACTTTCAATTTCAGTTCCGTATTTGCTCATCATCAGTGGTTGGGAGGAAATTCTAAATTCACCAAACTTAGGATGCTCCCACTCCTAATTTTGAATCAACGTTCAAATTGAACAAAGAACACTTGCTTCCAAAAATGTATTTATTTTTAGAAATTCCATTTAGAATTTTGACATTGTGAGAAACTTGTGCTAACATGTTTATAGTTTGTCCCAGCCACCTCATTTTTGTAAATTGATTTTGAAACAGGATTTCACAAATTTGTGTTTCACCATTTTAAATGTCCACAAAGTGGGTTTTTAAAATGGTTTCTCTCTTGGTACATCATTGATATCCCAACAGAACTTGAAGGGCAGCTTCTCCATCCGTTTCCTGAAAACACTGTCGAACCTTTCACTCTGTGCCACAGTCATAATATTTTTCCAGTCTCCAGTTGTACCTGGTGCATAATTCAGAAAGAAAGGAAGATAAAAGGGGTGAGTAATTTCTATTTTTCATAATAGGAATATTAATGGTTAAAAACCATACACTTTACTAGGATAAACACATGTTGTTTGGCACATCGTTACTATTCAACTGCTTGTTCTCTTATCTCCACTGTGTGGACAAATAGAAAGCTACAAAAATCCACGGCAATATAATAGGAATTCTTTAGATTTTATTATGCTTATGAATGTAGAAACCACTCAGACAACACACATAGAATTGTAAACGACCTTATTTCGACCAGAATAGCTCATTTGATTCAGCTAGATGTCATATCTGCTTAAGGGTAGGACTAGTGGAGAGTTTGATTTTTTTTAGTCAAACTTTTTTTTTTATCAGGCTGAGATCAAACTTACTCTCTTGGAGAATTTCTCCACCCCAAATAGTTTACTGTAAAAACAAAAGCAAAAGTAGACTTGTGGCCACTTTTGCTTCTTTTTTTTGTTTTGACATTTTGGACAGTTCATATAGCTCATAGAGGGCTCTCAGGTTGAAAACTAACTTACAAATTCCTGCAGCTCCTTGATTGTAAGATGCACATCATGCCACCGCCCCCTCCCTCCACCACATATAGATATCTTTTTAAATGGGGTGCATCATAGAACCACAGGATTTTTTTTTCAAAATTTCCTAAACATTACATTGTTTTTTGGCAGAAACCCCACTGCCAAGTTTGACTGTTATTGCTCCACCCAGTTCTCGCTATTCCATTGTGGAATAAAATGGCATGCTTGGCAAATGTAGTGCTACCTCTGTTCTGTTGTGCGCTGGGCCTGTAAAGAATTTCCTTTAGAACAGGACGTGCAACCTTTGCCCAGCGGGAAGCTAGGCTCTTAAGACTGTTCTCCCCTGGAAAGTCTTAAGGGTTGAAGCTTTTGTACGGGAGAAGCTTGCATACATCCTGTACATTAGCTTTCCTTGCTGAGACTAACTAAAAATGGCTCCTTTCCCTTCCCAATTGCCCTGAGCAAGGGGCGGGACCAAAACTTAACGATGATGGACAGGAAGCCTGCCCTACGACTGCAACCAAAGGAAGCCACCTATCTGCAGAGTCCCTGAAACCCAGGGCTGCAAGCAAACATTTAATACAAAGCAAATAAATTTGGAGCTCCTGGTACAGCTGTACCAGCACAACCACTGTTTCATTATAATGGAACTCACTCAGTGACAACTAGGAAGCTTTGGTTGTACCTTTGAAACCACCTACGTAAAAAGTTGAGTTACTGTATTTTGTTCATTTTAACCCCTTATTGTACATCAAAATGTTATCAAAAAGATTGTTCTACAAATCTGCATTGAAACAAAAAGTATTGTGTACGTAGAAGAGCATGGAAATAGAGCTGCGAGCCAACATTTTTACATTAGTGAGGTAAATGTTCATTGTAGGAGAAGTGATTGCAATTCCATATTTTTTATGCAAAACAATGACCAAGTTCTTTACAGGGACTAAGACTTGATTATTCTACAATCCATACAGTTGAAATCCATAGAAATCACCAAGTATTTTGGAACAAAGTAAATAATTTTAAAATTAATAATTTAATAACATTTTTAAAATTCTAAAAGATTTTCTAAGAAACCTTTTTAAAAACAAATCTTTTTTGTTGGTGTTACTAATATGTATCTTATTGAAGGTGTCTCAGAATCAAAGACACATGTTATGTTAAGTACTTAAAATGAAACTAAACACAAACAGAATCCAAAATATCTCAGAACAGAAACAAGCATAATTCAGCACAATGAAACCAAGTTTTAAAAACCTAGATAATATAATGCATTTTTCTGTATCCCTAAAACATAATACAGTTAGCACCATGTGAGCACCACCACAGAGTTTCATTAGCCATAGACCTACCTTTTCGAAGAAAAATTCCTTTGCTTTGATCTAAAATAGCAGAAGATGCATCCTTCGAATTTACTCTATGATCCATTCTCATTTTATCAAATGAAGCCTTATCCACAATATCATCCACTATTTTTTCAGTCAAACTCTTTCCCAGAAAGTTACTTATTTTCAACACGGAGCTTTTCAGATCCTGAAATGGGGCAAGGTTTAGATATGACATCATACAAAAATGAAGATCTCCACAACCAACTAATTTAATAAGCTGACCAAATAGTAGCATATTTATATTTATAAATATGAAAGAAGAATTCCAATGGGCAAGTCCTACTATTGCCTAATGTGTTCCTCTGCCACAATGTGTCATCAATCTAAAATCTTATCTAGTTTTTAGGGGTGTGCACAATTTCATTTTTGTTTACAGGATTTGGATGGTTTGGCAGATTCAGTTACCAAATCCATGAAAATAAGCCTGATGCAGGGCAGCTGAAGCTTTAGCTGATATAGATCACAGCAACCATATCTTTTTGACTAATGGGGGCTAATGGGGACCAAGGGGGCTGAGCGGCACTCTACCAGAGGTGGAAAGCTGCTTCTCCTCTTTTGCTTTTTTTGCTCAGCAAGCTCCTCCATCCCTTCCCAACCAACCATCCTTCCCGGTGCCCAAATGGGGACTCACTTTCCCAGCAGAACTTTGTGCAGTGCAAGCACTGAAGGACCTTGCCCTCCCTCCTGGGGAATGATGGGAGTTGAGATTTTTCTCTCTGTGTGTTTCTAACTTTCTTTCTCAGACAATCCGAGGCCTGGTTGAGAGTTTCCATTCTCCTCCCCTCTTGTGGTATGTGCTTGGGAGTTCAATTCCCAGAACCTTCTCTTGTAGTTTTTTTAAATGTTATGGTAAAAGTAAAGGTAAATGTTTCCCTTGACATTAAGTTTAATTATGTCCGACTCTGGGGGGTAGTGCTCATTTGCATTTCTAAGCTGGAGAGGTGATGTTGTCTGTAGACACCTCCAAAGTCAAGTGCCTAGCACAGGCCCGTAGCCAAGATTTCGATTCGGGGGGGGGGGGCTGAGTTTTTTTCGGGGGGGGTTGGGGGGGCTGAGTTTCGGGGGGGCTGAGTCTGAGTGAAAGAGGGTCTACCTAGCAAACCTTTTGTATCATTACCCCAATACCCCCATGCATATGGGATATATTGAGTATGGTGATCAGATCATGATATGAATAAACATAACAGTTTAAATAATGCACCAGTAAGGCCTTTTCGCGAACAACCATGAGAATTTCGGGGGGGGGGGGGGGCTGAAGCCCACCCCCCCCCCCCCCCCCCGGCTACATGCCTGGCCTAGCATGACTGCATGCAACGCCGTTACCTTCCCACCAAAGCGATACCTATTGATCTACTCACATTTGTATGTTTTTGAACTGCTAGGTTAGCAGAAGCTGGAGCAAACAGCAGGAGTTAACCCCACTTCCCGGATTCAAACCACCAACCTCTCGGTCAGCAAGTTCAGCAGCACAGCAGTTTAACTCACTGTGCCACCATAGGGTCCAGTGAGTTAAAAACTTTTATTTTTTTAAAAAATCCAATAATAATAATAATAATAATGGATTGGTGAAACATTCTGAAACTTGGCAGGCCTGCAGAAGTAAATGTGACCTTCAAGTGAGGCAAGTCCATGTTGATAAACCTAAAAATGATGGAGAAATGAGCTTCTAAAGTTTCCCCACCCATGGCAATGGACAAAAATTTCAGGCATAAAAACAGAAACCCCTCCCAAATTTGGGAAGTTCCCTAAAAACAGAACAGGGGGTAGCCAAAAACCAGGCACTGAAAAAAACAGCATGGGCTTTTGCCAAATTACACACTCCTTCTTACCACATTCCTTAGGATCTGGTTTGATCTAGAAATAAATGTTTGAAGGGGGAGAGCTCAAAATTTTTAGGTCCCCTGAGTTAAAAGATTACTCTGTAGGTAAGTTTGGGGCACACTACATTTTGGATCGGACTACCAACAGAATGGAAGACATTTTATCTTGGAAGGCGAGGTATGTATTTCAAAAGATTAGTTGTAATTATGCCTGATTTGTCCTGGGATAGAGAGTCAGGGTAGATCCACCCAAAGTTAGCTAGCTTTTCATGGCTGTTTAACATCAAGTAAAAAGAACCCTGTTGTGCCTTACTTTTTTCATTTCTTCATACATAAGGAATAGAATATCCAAGTGGTCCCTCTGAGCAGTCCAGCCTTCTACATGGTCTAGCCATAAATCACCTTGCACTTGTAGGAAAAAGAGACAAAGGAGTAACTGTTACTGCAGTTAAATGGCATCATTTAACCATCGGCTATGACTATGGTGCTGTAGATTGCAAAATTCCAGTGCAGCTTAGGGTTCAGTCAAAGGCTAGTCCTGCCAATAGACAGAATGAGGAAGATGCCTCATAGATATTATTTTGAGGATGAGTGAATAGATACTTGTGTTTGCCATCAGTCTCTCTTGCATTTGCCAAAGAACACAGCCTCGCAGTTGTTCATTCATGACACTGAGTGACCTTTCATCTTCCCCTGTGCCTTAGCACAATGTCATGAATCAGTCTTTGTCCCTCTCCTCCCTTCCCTTTACATATTCCATCATCAGCAGGATGGGAATGATACAGATAACATAGTTCTTAGACTGATTACCCAGTGTAGAAGTAAGGGTAAATTAACAGAACCTACAACAAAATGTTGCTATGTAACATTTTCTGTAATAGACGTGTCCTGCCAAATAACTAGTTTCTTACCTTCCCCTTCTTCGAAGAATCAAGTATGGTTGTTGACCAAGTGGAGAAAAATGATGCCCCAAGTCTCCAACTTGGAGGGGGGAAATCCAAGTCCTGCTGATCTGGAGGCAATGCAGTTCTTGCATTTTAAAAGTAACTTCTCCAACTTGGAGAGGGGAAACCCAAGCAAGGAGAATTCTGGGAAATGTAGTTTAGGGTGGGGCCTATTTTGTATAATTGGACTTGAGCAACCATGGATTTTTATAACCATGTTGGATCCTAATACCAAATCTCAGCAGATACCAAAGGCCATTGCTGATCATCACTTGGAACCTATTAGTAATGACATCTTGTGCAGCGTAATGGAATTAATATTTCCCCAACATTTCAATTTTTGGTCAAACAGTAGAAGTGAAAGCAATTTTTTATCTTCACATTCGTATTAATGCTTACCTTTACCAGCCAAAAACCTCTCCATGAGAATTTCAAAATCTTCTATTTCTTCATGTTTTAATGACAATTTGGAAAAATAATAATAGGACACCAAGACATCCTTTGGGTTTCTGGCCACATAAATAACCTGAAAGAACAATGAGGTAAAATTTCCTGATCATGGGAACAATATGCAATGGGACTTCCTTTCAAATTCGAGAGTTCTCAGTGTGATATCTGGTTTTATCCTAATTTACTGCTACCTATGCGCTTTCAAGGGCAAGATGGATGGATGGCATCCTTGAAGTGACTGGATTGACTTTGAAGGAGCTGGGGGTGGTGACGGCTGACAGGGAGCTCTGGTGTGGGCTGGTCCATGAGCTCACGAAGAGTCGGAAACGACTGAACAAATGAACAACAACAAATGCACTTTCAAGATTAACTGAGAGAAAGAAGTTGCAATGTAAACTTTCATAAAAGTTTTCTACTTCCTTTCATAAATCAATGAAAATTTAAGCTGTAACATCCTTCTCTCACTGTCTCAAAGATGCTGCAGGATTCTTTTGCATATGAATATTCCAGCTTAACATTACAATGTGTTTAAAAAATCAACCTGAGTTAAGCTCCTATTGGCATGCATTGCCAGTAGAATGCTTACGTTTACCTTTAGCCTTGACACTTTGCTCAGATAGAACAGAAGGAAAACTGGATTCCCCCAAGGAGTCCTTTTTCAGCTACTAAAGTAGAAAAACAGTTTATTGCACTTCTGTTACTGCCAGTGTGCCAGGTCTCCTAATGGCAATGAAGTAGTGTAGTGTTTATAGAGTTGTAGCCAAGGCAGGCCAGGGGTGGGGTGGGGAAGGGCAGGTGGAGTGGGGTGTATTGTGTTAGGGGTTCAAAACCCCCTCAAAAAAATTCAGGTTAAAAAAACCTAGTTTACTCATGAATATTAACTGGTTAACCAAATCTCCATGCTAAGTCTATGAGAAGTAAAAATTAAACGAGTCCCTCCAGAACTGCAAGCACTATCTCGAGCAAATTTTGACAATTGATTCACACTGTCATTACTTGCTGTAATAGCCAATATAGTGGAAGCAACCAAGTTGGCCTACCCTTAACTGGCAGGCAAAGCTGGGGTGGGGGGAGGGGGGAGATTTGAAGGCCCTCATGAAGGAGACCAGACTTAGTGGGATGGTTGACAGGGGCAGAGCTGCAGGCTATTTAAGGCTGCTCTGCCTCCTGCTGTGCTCTTTGCTTCAGCATGAGGTAGGAGGTAGGCTCCTAATGGGGTGTTAAGCCTTTCCCTCCTTTCTGCCCCCCTCCCCTTTTCCAGGTAGTAGGGTTCCCATTGCTATGTCTATATATAGATTGTTTTCAACTCTTAAACATTTGAAAGCATACATAAGAAGCACAATGGGTCAAAAAAGACTGGTTGGACTTGCACTCTTGAGTGTCCACTGAAGCTTATCGATGGAGCCTGATTTCTGTCAAAATGTACTGACACAGTTTTCAAGTGTTTCCAACAGACGTTGTGGTATTCTTTTGTAACTATAAATTATTGATTAACAGTCATTTTCAGTTATTTTAAGACTTGAAACTTTGTAACTAAAAAAGAAAATGCATTTAATTAAGTCTAAATAAAATATATAGAATGAACCATACTATTTAAATTATTTTGTGTTATGGGATTACTTCTCATGATTAGAATTTTTTTCTGGCTATGGCCCCGAGTGTTTGGCTCTACAATTATCCCTTGAGACTAGTTTTTGAAAGTGATATGCAACCTATGATCCCAACACTTTTTTTCTTCCTGTGTGATTGCTTACTAGTTTTACCTGATGAAACACTCAGTCAGAAACTAATACATTGCATTTGACGCCTTTTCTTTGACCTTAAAATGGTATTGGTAGAATGATTATTTTTGAATTTTGTATACTGCCTATCTTTTTAAAATTTTCAGCTGCTACATCATCCTAGTTTTTTTTTCCTAAAGGGAACTTTATGTATCAAGGATTTTTTATTATGTGTTCACTGGATATTTATATTTATCTGAATGAAAAATGCACATTTTTGCTGTCATTGCTTATTCTCAGAGGACCTACATAGTCTTTTTCATTCTTGCCCACAGCATGTCTGCATCTTCTGTAAATTATTTAAAACAAAGCTTTTTCTCTCTTATCTGTCTTTGGTCTTAATTTGTGTGTGTCTTACAAGTCATTGGATCAAATCCTCCCCTGCAAAACTTGCTAACTCCAGTAAATCTCATTGTAGAAATGTATTCTCTGTATCTGACAAACTCAGGGCAGTTATTCATGTCATGTTAGCAAATCAAATGAATGAAGTGATAGATTTAGTATGCTCTACCTTGGCTTTTCCATTTCTTAATCCCTTAGGCATTAAGTGGTAGGGCAGATGGGAGGCAAAGAGACGAGGCGATGGCCAATTGGCATAATCTTTATTGAAGACATTATACTCCAGCCATGGAACTCTGTCATGGAGGTCTGTATCTTCAGTCCCATTTCTATGACCTTCATGATAAATGAGGCTCAAAATTTGCTGTGTCCACAGAGTGCCTGTATCAATATGAACAGCTCGGTTGAATTCATTCCAAGGCATCAGGGGACTTTTTACTTGAAGGGCAATGTGAAGGAAAACGCCATTCCATTTCTTAATGAACATATAATTTAAATTGCAAGAACAGTTGAGACAATAAAGGAAGAATGGGAAAGGAATCATAGACCACAATGAGGTTAAGATACAAAAGGTTCAGTCATAGTTTTAGTGTTACTTTTAAACACTAATTGAGTGTCATTCCAAGGACTGCAATATCTATTAACAGCATTTTTCTATGTGTAAAGTAATTTTTCTTTTCTCCATTTCTCAAAACTTAAATTGTTCCTTTATAATTACCTTAAAAATGAATAATCAGTTAAAACTGTCGTACTATACAGGTATGACATGTTGATTTGGGATAATGGAATTATATATGGCAGAGTATCATTTGCAAGGAAAATATGACCAATCTTACCTGATTTAGGAAAAGTGACTACAAACACATCACTGTCTCTGATTTCAAATTCCTCCAGTGAATCAATGTGTTCTGGTGTAGCCAGATCTCGGACAAAATAAGATCCTTTGTGTTTGAACATATACTTCTCTGATGGCTCCATTGCTAGTGTCTTTGGCATCAAAAAACAAAATGACAATTGTTTTTCTCCTTAATAGGCAGGGATGAAAAACAACAAAGTAATACATGGATATTGATTCATTTATTATAAATCTCTGTAAAATCCAATCATTTCTCCAGTACTCAGAGATCATAGTATAATAGAATATTAGACTTGGAAAGAACAACAAGGGCCATTTAATGAAAAACCTACCCTACAGGGACATACATGTATACCAGTCCTACAAGGTGCCCAACTCTACATATATTAAATCATATTGGCCTTCCTGTATTAAGAGTTCATTTTCATCTTCTTTATAACCCAAGTTCTCTCTGTTAGTGTAAAGACACTTATGACTATGGGCCATTCTCCCCAGCTGATTCTTTATGTTTGTTTTCCGCCTACTTTTGCCTTCTTTTACTATTGGTCCAAGTCCCTGTATATCATTGAAGTCATTTCACAAATATTGCCTGTATCTCCCATGTAACTCAGTTCAAGTCCTTCTGATCAGATGTATGAGAAATGCATTCCTTTCAACTTCTGTGAGGTGCAATCCATCAAAATCATGATGCTGATTATGATGATATGCTGAGAAGCAGAGGCAGAAGGATTAGTATCTCTAAAACCACTGTTGTTCCGAACACTTTGAAATTCTAAAACATGTTGACTCCCTACCAATAGATTTAGTTGCATAAAGGCATTCTGAATCATGCTAAATCTTCTGTTAAGCTAAACACTTATTACAACTGTTTTTTTAAAACAAAAACAAACGTTGACCAGATTCCAGTTGAGGAATTCTAGATACATTAAAGTTCAAATTCAGTGCGATGCAGTGAATCCTGAGGCCACTAGTCCCCACATACTGGGCAGCTGCTGCTGCTTCTGGGAGTAAGGGCATCTCTTCTCCAATTGATTAAGAAGAGACTGACATTCTCATCTCTTGCAGAGAGTGATCTCTGGTGTGACAGGCAGAAACAGGATCCCTGTCATAAATGTCCTTCATGCTTGAGATCACTCATGTGGGGGCTAGGTGAATCTTGTTCAACATGCAACAGTAGTTTGTACTCAGTTAACTTAGTAGGAGAGAAGAGGGGGTGACAAATTCTTGCTCTTTTCAGTAGATTCTGGCAAAAGCAAACTGCTGAAGCTGTCATAACTTATATTTTCTTTTTCATTAATTACTTTTGGCATCTTAACCACACTCAGATGTTGCTTAGTTATTATCCCAGATAAACAATGACTTCTAATGAGATTTCTATGTGCCATCTGGAAGATAAAGAAATCTACTTAAAAGTGCAAATATCATAGGAAATAAAATTATGTAAGAACAATTCCCAAATGAATATAAAATATGAAAAAGAGCAAGTTCCATATAACTCTTTCCTTTCAGTTTCGGCATCAAAGGTGGACTTCTAAATCTAATCTCTCCAAGTTCCCCAGGCTGGCAGGGTGACTGGAAGGTGGGATAGGTATTAAACACCTTTCTTTCCTTCCACTATAAGGACATGTGACCTAGCCATCACCATATCCCCCTCTGATCTAAACAACTTATTGCTACCCCAGGTCCCATATACATTGAATTACAAACAACAATATAGGGACAAACAAACAACCAAGACCAAAAAAGGGGAAAAAACCAAAATTAATTATGAGACATTAATAATCTCACCATGTTATCCCCACTTCTGGGAAGTAGAGGTGCATCTTGAACCTGAGCCCCTTGCCAAAGTTTGTTTTCTGGCAAAAAGATATGGCCCATTTCCGATCAGGATTTATCTGGGGATCAGATGCCCATAGGACCCTTGCAGGCAAGCTAGCTATTTTTATGAACTTCATGAAATTGCTAGTATTCTACATGTCTTTTCCCCAAGACTGTGCCCTTCATGAGATGTGGCTCTTACCTCTCCTTTGTCTTTGTTGCTCAAGTTTTCTCAGACTCACCTTATTGCTTTGTCAAAGGATCTGCAGCAACTCAGTCCAGCAGTGAGGATGAACTCGTCCACAAAGACCGTTCTATGTTTGCCAAGACTCACAGGAGGTGTGCGCCAGGGAGTTCCAAATAAAGTGTCAAAGTTGTTCTGGGAGTTTCACTGTATTGATGGACAATAACATTCAAATACAATAAGGTTGCATTTAAACTGTGCAGCTGGGTACACTAAAACCGAAATATGTATACATGTATTCGGAACCTTAATTTTTCTACAATTGATTGGGTTGTAACTGCTTCGTAGACAGACTAAAAAATGAAGCAAACTAGCTCCCTTATTTTCCCACGCTGCCCTTGCTGGTTTTCTGTTGAATAGGCTTCTGAAAGACATTTATTTCTTAGTGAGTTTAATACGTAGCTCCTCTTATCGGTATTAAGCACATTCAAAAGCACTAACTCAGTGTTCTCAGAATAAGACAATGCAGGGCATTCAGCACTGCATAATTTCAGCATTTCTTCATTGAAAGTTATTTCAATGAGGCCAAAATTAATTCATAGCTTCAAGCAATTGCAAAGGCCATGATGCTGAATCAGTCAGCCATGGAGCATTCTCCTTCCAAAATCTGGAACAAACCACAACTTTGGACCTCTGCAAGCAGTTAGATCAGGTCCAAGACTGAACTGGCTACACTTATTTACATGGCCATCCTGTATTTCCTGAGCTTGGGCAATCCGGTGATATTAAATGTGCTATGTCCCTCTGCTCTTTTCTTTGCAGCAGCCAGTGGGCACAACATAGCACATGAAGGTCACTCATTGCCTGGAGTGACCATAGCTAGAGTGATGAGGTGATTGGAGGAGGAGTGATTCCTTTTCTCCCCCTCCTGCATCACTCTGGTGCCCCAGCAGATGTTACTCCAGCAACAACAGATGTTATTCCACCAACACCAGCCATGTTGCATCCACTGGTTACTGCAGCAATGAAAATAGGAGAGGGGTGATAATGGTGGCCATATGGCAGTGCTGGTTAAGCATTGCTGGATAGTCAGAACTCCCTCCTACCGCCATAGGGTAGGGCTGGGGGGGGGGGCACTCAGAATCAACCTGGGATAATCCAGCATTTACCATCCTAAATGGCCATCTCTAGTTTCCACCTGAAATGGAAGAGTTAGGTCGGTTTCTCATTTATAGCTAATTACTTATAATGTTTTGTATTGATCATCAAGAAGATTATTACATACCTTAATACTAAAGTTTTCATTGTACTCGTTCAAACAACACAATAATTCTAAAAAAGTACTGGTTCTTAGGGTTGAAAAGTTAATGTGCATTCCCATGTACAATAAAATATTCCGAAGCTAACACAGGAGCAAAGAGGCGTTTACGATCAAATAATGAACACTATCCATAATGGGGAAGGAGAAATCTTGAGTCAGAAGGAACAGGTAAAATGTTCCTAATAATACTGATTCTGGCAGCAATTCGATTTCAAAATTACATAGATCTTGCTTCGTCTGGAATATCAGCAACATTGCTACCAGGTGGAAGAACTGGGCATTCTGCTTTGAAATTGCCATTGAATATGGAATACATTGAAAGTTCCAACGTGCAACATCTCAAAACATCCAGCATGGGAAAAGTATTACAGAAATGCAAACTTATGATTTGGGATGAATGCATAATGTCACACAAAACATCCCTTGAGGCTCTGGATCGAACACTACAAGATTTGCGTGCCAGTAAAGGACCATTTGGAAACACAATAATACTATTGGCAGGAGATTTCAGACAAACATTAACAGGAAATTCCACGATCAACACCAGCTGATGAAATAAATGCCTGAAGTACTCCACTTCGTGACGACATGTTAAAACATTAAGATTAACAACAAATACGCGTGTCTGACTCTAGAATGACCAGTCAGCAGAAATATTCTCTCATCAATTGCTACACATAGGGAATGGCAAGGTACCAGTAGATCAGACCACGGGACAAATTACATTGCCTCAAAACTTCTGCAGCATTGTGACATCAAAACAAGAATTGATAGAAAAAGTATTTCCAAACATACAAAACAACTACAAGAATCACGACTGGCTAGGAGAACGAGCAATTCTGGCACCAAAAAACACAGACATCTATGCACTTAACCATATCATTCAGTCAAACATTCAAAGTTAAGCAGTAACATACAAATCCATCGACAATGTTGTGGAAGCAGATGAGGCAGTTAATTATCCAACAGAATGCTTGAATTATCTGGATCTGCCGGGACTGCCACCACATATACTGCATTTGAAATTGGGCGTGCCTGTTATCATGTTGAGAAACATCAATTAGCCAAAACTATGCAATGGCACATGCCTTGCAGTCAAAGCATTGCAGTCAAATGCACAACGTCAATGAAGCAACAATCCTGACAAGACCATTCAAAGGAGAAGACGTCCTGATCCCATGCATTCCAATGATTCCTACAGATATGCCATTTCAATTCACCAGGCTTCAATTCCCTATTCGACTGGCTTTTGCAAGCACAATCAACAAAGGACAAGGACAATAATTAGAACTGTGTGGCATAGATCTAGACATCGAATGCTTCTCACATGGACAGTTGTATGTTGCATATTCCAGAGTCGGAAAACCACACAATCTCTACATCAACACTGACAAAGGAACAACAAGAAATACTGTTTATCCACAAGCATTAAGAAATAAAATATATTAAGTATGAGCACTTTCTCATTATTTTATTTTCCATACCACCACACTACGCCACAGCAACAAGTGGCCGGGTACAGCTAGTAGTGTTCCCTCACTTATTGTGAGGGTTCCCTTCCAAGCGCCCCCCCCCCCCGCGATAAGTGAAAATCTGCAAAATAGGGGTATTCAAAGAGAGTTGTAGTTCACCTACAGCTAGAGAGCACTGTAGACTCAAACAATGAAGGATCTGCACCAAACATGCTGTTCCGGCTGTTAGGAATTGTGGGAATTGAAGTCCAAAATGTCTGGAGGGCCCAAGTAGGCCAGGCCTGCACAAATATACAAACAACACACACACATGCATATATACACTTGTACATACATACACACACACATATACACTCATATATATACATATATACACACATAAATACATATATACACACATACACATACATAACACATACACATATACACATGCACACACATACACATATACACATACATACACATATATACATATACACATGCAAACCACACAATATATACATATACACTAGGCTTGTTTGTGCAAGGAAAAATGATTCAAAACCTGTTTCAGATGTAGGGGGCACTGACAATTCAATTTGGAAATGATTTCTGAAATTTTCTGAAAAAAGTCAGAATTTTTTGAAATTTCAGAAATTTCTGAATCGCTTCGTTAATGGTGGGCGCGATTGCGCAATACAGGAAAAACTGCAAACGGAACAGGGAAAACTTCTGGGGATTCCCTTTCCCTCATTTTTAGACAGCTACTGACAAAACTTGCCACAGTGGCAGAAAACATTCTCCTCTGTCAGTAAACTAAATTTCAACATGTTTAGACAATCCCTGGGTTTTAGACAATTTTTAAAGTAACTCCATTTATCTAATAAGGAATATTACAAGAAGAAGAAATGTGCTACCTCCAGGATTCTTTTGGAAAATGTAAGTCTATCTCTCTGTTTTGCATATTTGTCTAGAGCAGACATCTCTGAATATGAAAAAAATGGAATTTATCTCATAACATTAAATTAATTTATTACATTTGCTTGTTTCCAAGATAAGCGGAGGCCAAGCCTTTAAACTTGTATTTGGTGGTTCGGCAAGGAAATTATTAGCAGATTAGGAGATTTCTTGTTTCCCAAAGTACAATGTGTAACCCCAAGGAGAGAAAAGGACCTTTAAACTTGTATTTGGTGGCTCAGCAAGTAAATTATTAGCAGATTAGGAGATTCCTTGTTTCCCAAAGTACAATGTGTAACCCCAAGGAGAGAAAAGGGCCTTTAAACTTGCATTTGATGGTTCAGCAAGGAAATTATTAGCAGAAAATGGGATTTGCAAGTCCAAAGGGACTTTCTGGGATTCCAAAATCCAAAGTGTAACCCAAAGGGGATTGAGGTCTCTTGAAAGTTTAATTCACTGCTTCTAAAAGGGAAATTGGCAGTGGAAGGCAAGAGAAGAACATTTCTCCCAGCTGCCCTTATGTGCTGCCCTGCCCTGCCCTTCTTCCCTCCCTTGTCATTGGCTTGAGGCAAGCATCCCAGCATGCAAGCTGCTGCTTGCCTCCAAACACTGAGTCATTGCCGATTCACTTCCTGAGTCGGAACAAAGATGGTGACAGTGGCTTTGAAAGGGCAAGGATACTTCTGGGTTCCCAAATCACTTCGAAATTGCTTCAAAAAGGAATTTGATCCGAATAACGAGGATTCCGACTGGACCCAACCATACCTAATATACACATATACATATACACATGTACACACATACACATATACATATACACAAGCACATATAAATATACACATACACACACATATATACACATGCACACACATACACACATATACATATACACATGCATTTCCCACCTTGATAACCTTTGAAAAGCCTTGCAGCTTAAAAGCCTGGCTTCTTCCTGCATGCAGGAAACCTTTGTGGGGAGGTGTTTCCTAGCCCAGATTGTTTTATGTCTGGAATTCCTGTTTTCTGAGGGCCACAGCAACGTGCAGCCAGGGTACAGCTAGTACTTCATAAAGTAATGACTGGTTTGATTAATGTGACTTCATTTATTGCCTGGAATTCTCAACTGCGATTATTAATGCATAATTTCAGGTTTGTATTCCCAGGGCCCACCTATTCAATAATGTAGAAACTTTTTGAGGAACAGCTACTGTGAGTGATAGGGATCTTTTCTTCTGTTTGGGACATGGCAGACTAACATTTTGAAGCCCTCTTGCAAGGGATTTCTGACATAAGCAAGAATTGCAACATCTTGCAGACTGCTTCTGGTTCCTTGTGGGCAGAGCTGGAAATTTCAGTCCGCTGTGCCACTCAGGTCTTGCAAAATATCATGCCATTATGATTTCTTGGGAGAGTTTAGGTTTGATTTGGTCATTTTACTAGCGCAGTTCTCTGACAAAAAAATGCAGCATACCAAATTGTGTATATCAAGGAATATATTGTATAAAATATAGGACAAAGAATTATCCCATCCCAAGTGTGAACCAACACCCAGCCTCAATGAGAACTTTTTAAAATATTTTTATTATTTTATCATAATTCAATACATTTGTTATACATTGTTTGTTTTACAGCAGATACATATTATTCAATACAACCTACCATACTTTAACTTTTGGCATCTACTATTATTTTTCTGCTTATACATATTATCTATACCTCAGTGAGATTTTTTTTAATATTGTGTATATTTTGAGAAATTACATTCAAAATTTTGCCATTATGACAAATGTATGTAAAAAATGTATCTTTGTCCTGATCTTGAACCTCTTGAAAACTGATTTTGAAACAGGGCTGGACAATTCTGAGATTCACCAAATTAAAAGCAGGCAATGCAAATGTGAAAGGGTTTCATTTATAATTCATCATTCATATCCCAGCAGAACTTGAAGGGCAGCTTTTCCATTCGTTCCTTGAAAACTCTGTCAAACCTTTCACTTTGTGCAACCGTCATTGTGTTTTTCCAGTCTCCAATAATACCTGGTGCAGAATTCAGAGAGAAAGGAAGATTAATGTGATGGTTATTACCCTGTTATCTACAGTGGGGATGGCAGGCAAATTTTATTGTGCAGAACTGAGGATGATTGGTATGCCACTACTGTACAACTGCCTATTGTTTCATGTTTGTTGCGAGGTCAATTAGAAAGGCCACAAACTTTTGTGGCACAACCGCAGCACTTTTTGGAATTCTACTTTCAAGAAGACCTAACAAGCTGACTAGGGCTTTTGGGAGTTGAGAAAGGTACAGCTTGTGCAGGCCTGGCCTAAAACTTAATGCAGCAGGTGCTAAGTGAGGCTTTGCACCTCCAGAGAAACACTCCTATTTATTGTCACCAGCCACAGACTTACCTTTGCGAAGAAAGCGCCCTTTGCTGTGATCTAAGAGCTCAGGAGACAGGTTTTCAACGTGTATACTAGAATTCGTTCTCATGTTTTCAAATGAAGCCTTAACCACGATATCATCCAGCACTTTTTCAGTCAAACTCTTTCCTAGGAAGTTACACATTTTCAGAATGGAGCTTTTCAGATTCTGAAATGGGATATGGTTTAATTACTATATCATGTAGGGAATGACCCCATGATTGACAACATTTCATATATCTGACCAGTTAGTAGGAATTATTTAATAACAAATATTGAGCAAGGCATCTCATTGTCATTGGTGATCACTCGTGTCTGAGTATGATGGCCTTCCAAGTATTTTATGGGAAAGTAGATGTTTTTTAGGCAATGAAAACAACATTTCTGAAGATCTGCTATATATTTTGTGCATTAGCATAAATCTTTGTTCCTAAAAAAGGCTGTTCAGGTTTTGAACCGATGCAAGGCAGCTGTGATGATCTGGATGAGAGTGAATAAATTGAAATTGAATCCAGACAAGACAGAGGTCCCCCTGGTCAAGTCACAAGGCCAAACAGAGTATAGGGTTACAGCCTGTGTTGGACAGGGGTTACATTCCCACTGAAGACTTAAGTTCGCAACTTGGGAGTTCTCTTGAACTCATCGCTGAGCCTGGAACCCCAGGTCTCAATGGTGGCCTGGGGAGCATTCACACAGTTAAAACTTGTGTGCCAGTTGCACCCATACCTTGGGAAGTCAGACTTGGCCACTGTATCCATGCTCTGGTTACATCCCAAATAAACTACTGCAAAGCACCCTACATGGGGTTGCCTTTGAAGACTGTGGTGGAGTGTGGTGAAGGCTCCTTCTTTGGAAGCTTTTAAACAGAGGCTGGATGGCCATCTGTCAGGGGTGATTTGAATGCAATTTTCCTGCTTCTTGGCAGGGGGTTGGACTGGATGGGGTCTCGTCCAACTCTATGATTCTATGATTCAAAAGATCCAATGGGCAGCAGCCAGATTGCTCACTGGAGTGGCATACAGGGAGCCTACAATCCCCCTGCTACACCAGCTCCATTGGCTGCCAGTCTGCTACTAAGCACAACTCAAAGTGCTGGCTTAACTTATAAAGCCCTAAACGATTCTGGCCCAGCTTACCTGTCCGAATGGATCTCTCCCTATGAATCATCTCAGTGTTTAATATTGGCTGGGGACACCCTGTTCTCAATCCCGCCTCCTTCACAGGCATGACAGGCGGCCCCCCAGCTGTGGAATTCCCTCTCTAGGGATATTAGATCAACCCCTTCCCACCTGATCTTCCATAAGAAAGTGAAAACATGGCATTTTGATCAAGCCTTTGGAGATCTTGCAAAATAGATAAATATGAAATTATGTGTAATAACTATTGGAATGGCCCAGACTATGATTTTGGATAATGTGGTTAACAGTGAAGATATTGTTTATATGTTAAAAATGTTTATGTATTTTATACTTCTATTTTAAATGCCTATTTTAATTGTACATTGTTTTTGAAGACATCGAATAGCTGCCTAAGTATAAGCTGTTTTGTGTCCCCTCCGGGGTGGAGAAAGGTGGGATAAAAATGTCGTAAATGAATGAATGAATAAATAAATAACAGTTTAAAGATCCAGGTATATCAATCTAATAGCTGAGAAACCTAATTTGCCTTGCATGAATGCTAGGGGATATATACCACTAAAGAGAAGATTGATTCAAATGAGTTTTAGCTAATCTCAGGAAAATCATAAATTGCAAAAAGGTTATCATATTCCATATGGTGTGGATGCCAATTAATCTCCAAAAGGTCACCTTCCAAAATGGCTTTGGAGATTCTTGTTTTCCAAAAGGTTATGGTCACAAACGTCATAACCAAAAGAGACCTATTCTTGATCTGCATGTTCTCCTGCAGTGAGGACATCAATTTCCAGGTGGAAGGCGGTCCTGGTCAGGGTTGGCTTGATGCACCTTCCTCTTGAAATATTTCTCCCTTTCGCCCTACATTCATGCCTCTTTGAATTCCACAGCACTGTTGGTAACAGCTGACTTCCAGTTAGAATGCTCAAAGGCCAGGGCTTCCCAGTTCTCATTGTCTATGCCACAGTTTTTAAGGTTGGCTTTAGGCCCATCTTTAAATATCTTTTCCTGCCCGCCAACAGGGACCATTGACCCAAGAAAGAACTACTAGGACCTCCTCACAATAGAGAATGAATCCACTTTAAATCCAGTTTCTGCCTCCTGCAGAATTCTGGGGTTTGTAGTTCAGGGAGGAACCTTTAACAGCCTTACTAAACTACAAACCCCAGAATTCTTCAGGAGGCAGAAACCAGATTTAAATTGGATCCATTCTCTACTGTGATGAAGTAGTTTCCTTATAGTTATGAACATACAGACTGTTACCTCTTCTCAAAATAGTCTCTGACAAAGTGTTATTGAAAAAACAGAAAAGATATGTAAGGTCTTACCTTCTTCATTTCTTCATACATAAGGAACAGAATATTCAAATTGTCCTTCTGATCAGACCAACCTTCTATGTGGTCTAACCATAAATCACCTAGCACTTGTGGAAGAAAGAGTAGGTGTTAGTATAGTTAAGATGGCATTTGGCACCAGTGGTTGTGATGTCGAGCTGTAAAATTCCAGCTTAGGTTTGGTCTCAACCGAAGGCTTGTCTTGCCATTCTGCAGAATTAGGAAGGTGCTTTATGCAGATAATTCTGGGGAAAAGGAAACAGACACTAGGGTTTGCTCTGAGTCTCCCTTGGATTTTCGAAACCCATTCTGCTCATTTGAGATGCTGCCTTGGATGCTCTCCTATCACCAGTGTTGAAATAAAACTGAAGAGCCAGAATCCTTGGATGCCAATCATAGGATGGCATGGGGAATGGCTGTGTCCCAAAGAGCACTATGTTGTGGGTCAGTATGTGAATCATGATCGTAACAACATACTGAATGAATAAACTAATCCTAGAAACTCTGTGATATGATTTTGTTGTTCACAAATATTAAGGAAAAGCAAGATTCGGAACCAAATGCTACCATATAATCTTATCTTACAAGACAAGTTTCAAGATAGACATCTGTGCTCTCTTCCCTTTAGAAGGAATTGGTATGGTTATATTTATGAATCAATCTTTCATGAAAAAAAGAAAGAAAACATTTTGGAATTTCCTTTATATTTATAGAAACATTTTTGCACTTGACACAGCTTTTCCACCACACCAAAACAGTTCATTATAGCAATCATGGTGTGCAATTTTTTGTATGTTGATCATCACATTCACTGAGCTATCCTTAGCCTGGAATTGCTGTAATTGTTGTAAAAGTAGAATCTGGAAAAAGATATTGCTTGTGGGGATCCCGGTCACATTTTAAGAATTCAACTGCCAAGCTATATATTTGTCTGTACCTGAGTGAGCACACAGTTAACATTTTTTTTTTCTGAACAATGTGGATGTGAGCAAAGATGTATGTTGCTATGTGATGAACATCAGAATGGAGTTGGCTTATTGCCATTAATAGCACCTAGTGTGACATTATTGGTCTCCTCACATTTCACTTTTTTAGTCAAATGGGGGGGGGGGGATGATGCAGGGGTAAAGGTAAACCATTTAAAAATACTTATTAATGCTTACATTTACCAGCCAAAAACCTCTCCATGAAAATGTCAAAGTCCTCTATTTCTTCAATGTTGGTAGCAATTTTGGCATAATGGTAGAAGGACACCAAGACATCCTTTGGGTTTCTGGCCACATAAATAATCTGCATTAAAATGATATTAAGAATTCTAATGAAATAATTTCTGATCATATGAACAAGTATCTAGCAATGGGACTTTCTCTAACACTATTAATTGGAAATAAGAATGGGCCCATTCCTATTTTCTTCCCCCTTTCTCACTCTCCTTACTTCCCCTTCCTATTCCTGAGCTGTCTGGTTGTGTCTATTTACTATTTTACCATTATTTTGCCCTTTGTTATTCATTGATGAAACTATGAAACTGTTTTAAAATTGAAAAAGAAAACTGGAGCAGCAGAAGTGCAGGAAGGCAAGGTTACAAGGCTTTGCAGAAGAACAATTGCAGGACCATGAATTGGAAAATTGGCACAACCGCGTGAATGCAGGGAGGTACTTATGTTGGTATTTATCTTCAATCCACGATATTGCAACTATTGAAGAATAGTGGCTTTGTGCAACAAAGTCTATAGTCTCACATAGCATTGGTAGAAATGGCTTCTCAAAATGTTACCTTGTTGTAGCTAATGAAGAAAGACTTTTTAATTGTTTTCTTACTGCTTGTGTTCTCGGTCCGTTTATGGCCATGAAAGAGCTTAACCTCTAGCTTCGCTGAATCTACCTTCATATCACTTTTATCACCAAGGTAAATCAACACCTGAAGCAAGGTACAACCTTGTGACTTTAACACCCCCATTCTTCTTTATCTACATAATTGTTTACCATCTTTACCTGATGAAGCAACCAGTGAACTTTGGAAACTATTATGGCGCCTTCTACATCTTTTTTCCATTGAGTCAATTTAACGTATTCACATACTCTGTCCTTTATAAACAACATAGTACAGCTGTTTGATTTACATGACTCAATGCAGTTGTTCTGTAACTCTAAGTTGGATTCACAAGAATTCTTAATCAAGGAATTCTTCATGTATTCAGTAATGCACATTTCTCACATCAGAAAAAGCTTATTCCTCTTGTGAGATGATGGAACAATCATTCTATATATGTCTCCTCCAATGGAGTCTTGTAGCTCCAGTGGAGTAGTTTTTAGACAGGAATTTATTTCTTCTGGTAGAAGTTAGCCTCTCATTCTTGTTTTTCCCAATCACCATAAACACACAAGAAAGGGGGAAACACAAACATGCTTTTGCTGGCAGCCATGCATTTTTCATCCAACATGCTCATAAATTAAAATGTGTTTTCTCTTGGTTTCTTTTGCTTACTTATTTCTTTTTTCATTTCTCACTTGTACCCCGTCTATATTTGCTAAGACACTGAGTTTTAAACTTGACCACTCACTGTAGCACACAAGCACGCATCTTCATTTTCTGTTCACATGCCTCCAAAGGCTTCGGATTCAAATTGAGTAATTTCAGATCTCAACCAACATAGAAGGGAAAGGTCGATTACATTAAAAGAAGGTGGAGGTGAGTAAAGATTAGTGAGAGGTCCTAATTCAAAAGAGTTCCCAGGACTCATCTTTCCTTAAGTATTTCCCAAACCAAGACCCATATTAATGCAAACTGATTCACATGTCATTCTAAAATTGATACACAATTCCCAGTGGACTGGCATCAGAGATTCCTGGTCCCTGATCCAACCTTCCAACTCAGGGACCCTCTCAGCTTAACACTTATTCCTCCTGTGACCAGGCTTCCACCTCAGGCAAAGTCAGAGAGTAAGTGCACAGTATTGCATAGTGTGGTGTTTTCAAATGAGGCAGCAGCCAGGTACTCTGGGGTCATGTGTAGTAGACCATGGACAACAGCCCCCAAATGGGGGCAGGACTGAAGCATCAGCCCTTAAGTGTACCTCCACATGGGACATGAAGTTAGGATGAGCCCTGAAACTGGACAGAAAGCGAACAGGCAACAAACCATTGGCCAAAGAATCTATTAAGTCTCAGCACTGTCAACCAGCTCACAAACTTTATCTATCTGGCCAAGACAGATAAAGTTTATTTCAAGCTTTGGTATTTTATAGAACATGGTGATCCTCATCTGAGGTCTATGTGACCACTATAGAATATAGCCATAGAAATTAGTTAGAATTCAATATAAATTGAAACAAACATCGGTAGAGAGATGGAAAGGGGATCTAAATAACAATGATTCAGACATTGAACACTGGATCAAATTCAATCAAAAATATCAAGTCCATAAGGATTAGAGAAACACAAAGGAAAATACTGACTAAATGGTACAGAACCCCAATTAAACTAGCACACATAACTAAAACAACCACAAAATTGTGTTGGCACAGATGTGGAAAAATTGGCTCCTATATACATATGTGGTGGGAATGCGACAGAGTACAAGATTTTTATAATAAAGTAAAGAAGGAAATGGAAGAATAAATAGGGCATAAATTGGTTTTGAATAAAAAAGAATTTTTCACCCAGAAATTAGACAAGAATGGCAACATCAAAGCTTGGGGGAAAATTATAAAATACACGATAGTTGCCACCCAAGAAACTGTGGCCTTGGGGTGAAAAGACCATAGAAAGTGGGAAGTTAAAAATGGTATGATTACCTAGCAGACTTTATACTTCAGGACTACATCTCTGAAAGAAGAGCCAAATATACATCATGCCGAATCAAGAAGACCTGGGTTCAGGAATGGGGAAGATTGATAGATAAAGTCGAAGGAAAAGAAAGATATAAAGAGCTCAACCATTCTCTTTACATGATTGTTCAATTAAATTAATATTTGAATGAAGACAAGTACTGTTTCCAGAGGTGGGGGTGGGGGGAGGGGGAGACGGGTGTAAAATTGATAGACACAAGTGGGAGATAAAGGTGGAATAGGTAAGGATAAGAATGCTATGAAAACAATATTTGATATGTATTTGGAAATGGTGATGTATTGTGATATTATTCTACCTGTGCCAGCAATAAAAACATACATTTTTAAAAAAGAATGTAGCCATAGACTGCTTAGTGTTTATGAGGATGCCTTCAGAGTTTGGCACTGTATGAGCCGTAACTTCTGATTGTTGGCCCTGGTCACACAATATTGCAATTACAGCCTTTCTAGCATAGGACAAATGACAGAGCTCAGTCAAGAAAATAAGCCATGGGCAAATGTCAGCTATTGTCAAAATGGAGTTGTTGAGGCTCACAAAACCAGAATAGCATATAGCTGTATCTTTAGTTGTGCGTATCTGTGTGTACACGCCTTCAGGTGGACTCACACACACAGCCTTTACTGGCACACAACAACAAAATCACAACACAGGTATATAGAAAAAAGAAGTCACAGATAAAAAGAAAACATACTTAAAATTACTAATCTCAAGGATAAAATTGAGATGTTATCCTACTCACAAAAGAATGCATCAGGGTTGTTCAACGGATATAGAATTTTATAACACCCTTGCCATTGAGAATACTGAAAAATGGAATTGCTGCATTTAATCCATATATTATCATATTATCAATATGATATGAATCTTTAGTTGTGATTTCATTACCAGGGGGTCAAACTCTGGTCTCCATGGTCATAAGATCAACATTCTAACCTTTATACCACACTGACTCTCACAAACTTTGTTGGCTCCCAGAAATTGCACTACAGAAATGTACCCCTGTAGATACTCTGCTTCTGGCAAACTCAGAGCAATTATGCACATTTAATAGCAGAAGTAGCAGACCTACCTTGGTTCTCTGTTTACCTAAACCCATTGGCATAAATTGATAGTGCATGTGTGTAGTAAAATGACGAGGTGATGGGCGATTGGCATAATCCATTTTGCGAAAGTTGTACTCCAGCCATGGAGCTCTATCAAACAGATCTATGCTTTCAGTCCCGTTTCGATGACCTTCATAACAAATCATGCTCAAAATGTGTTGTGTCCACCTGGTGCCTGTGTAAAGATGAACAATCTGATTCATTCATGAAACTACTTTTTATTTTCAAATGACAATGCTTGAGGAGGCTAACAGGAAGTGTTTGAAGTAAAGGCCTCATTGGCTGACTCAGATGACATCAACAGAGGTTGATAGAGAAACTTCAAAGCATTAATCGGTTGCCAATATTATTCCCAGGCTTCTTTATTTTTTTCATCTCTTTATAAAGTACTTGTTCTCATGAGTGAACAACCGGGTATAAAAAAGGTCCTTCTCTGTTGTTGCCACAGAGCCAAACTTGGAAATGTAATGATAACACTGAGCACTTAATATCATTGCTTGTTTGAATAAGCCACTTTTCCAAAAAGCATGAAGTCACGAAGAAGCACCTTTAACTATACTTGTTCTTTTTTCCTACACAGATCCCACTAGAATGAGATGGTAGTCCCGTGGTGGTAGTTCTGATTCCAGACATCAGATGATGTATTTGCAGAAGAAATTGAATTACAGTTGGGGAAAAATAAATGAAAACAAAACATGGAATGCATTTTAAAACATATTTGCACAAAATGCAAACAGCAAAAATATAGAAATATCTTTCAGGCCATGATTGAAAATGCATATTAGTCAAAATAAATGCTTGAAAAATAGTGCATAAATGTCAGAACCTTAGTGCCACAGCTTCTCACTGATGGGAGGGGAGAAGTAAATCAGTGAGAAGTCACTCATCTTGGCTCTAGGTGAAAGAAAAAGGTGGTGTAATCCATTTGGGAATACTCCATTATTTCTTTTTCTGTCATAGCCATGACCAGACACTTTTCCCTCCTCTGAATTTTCCCCTCCACCCATCTGTAAGCAGTTTTTTTCATGTCAGGAGTAACTTGAGAAATTACAAGTTGCTTCTGGTGTGAGAGAATTGGCTGTCTGCAAGGATGTCACCTCAGGGGAAGCCCGGATGTTTTGCCATCCTGTGGGAGACTTCTCTCATGTCCCCACATGGGAAGCTGGAACTGACAGACGCAGGCATGTAGCCGGGGGGGGGGGGGGTTGGGGGGCTTCACCCCCCCCCCCCAAATTCTCATGGTGGTTCGCGAAAAGGCCTTACTGGTACATTATTTAAACTGTTATGTTTATTCATATCATGATCTGATCACCATGCTCAATATATCCCATATGCATGGGGGTATTGGGGTAATGATACAAAAGGTTTGCTAGGGTAGACCCTCTTTCACTCAGACTCAGCCCCCCCCCCCAAATCAAACTCAACCCCCCCCCCCCGAATCAAAATCCTGGCTACGGGCCTGGACAGACGAGAACTCACCCTGCTTCCCGGATTCAAACAATCCTGCCGGCACAAGGGTTTAACCCATTGTGCCACTGGGGGTTCTTGGCACCAGTGGATTCACCAATCTGGTGGGGACACAGAGATACACATCTGGAGTATTTTGCTTTATCTTTTCAACGCACAAATTTGAACTGAGTCTGTCGTTCCTCAGTTTGTCTTTCTATGTCCCATTCTGTTCTTTTTCTGCTTCTTTACATTTTTATCTCAAAGTATATTTGCTTTGTTCAATCATAGGCACTTTCCAAAAAATGGAGGGGACAACATCAAGATACTAAGAAAGTGTTAATTCACATACGTTTGATTCATCTGCTGCCCCCAACATCCCTTTGTTCTGAATAACCTCTTCCACCCTCAAAATGTTGATTCATGAACCAGCCACTTAGAAATCTATTGCTGTATAGCTGTGGTTTGTGGCATAGAATAATGGATTTCTATGTAACAGAACATTTTTCCATGGTAAATATACAAAACTTACCTGATTTTGGATAAGAGACTATAAACACATCACTGTCTCTGATTTCAAAATTCTGCAATGAATCTATGTATTCTGGTGTAGTAAAACTTTGGATAAAATAGCATCCTTTGTGTTTAAACAGATACTTCTCTGATGGCTCCATTCCTAGTGCTGCTAACACAAAAACAGAAAACATGAACAATGTTTTCGGATTGGGTGGAATGAGAAACAAGAAAAAATATTGTGACATCCATTCAATTTTCCCTTCCACAGAGATCCAAAACATGATGAAGATTTTGATAATAATGATTACACTATGTAACACAGTTTTTGTTCCTTGGTTTTAAATGTCATTTCCTAATGGGTTCTATCATAAAAACATGGGGAAAAGTTTATTAAACTGCAAAAACTTTGTTTCTGTGGGACATCCTGCAGCACATTTTACTACAGTTTTTCAATGACTATCTGACAGTCTGCAAATATTAAACTATACTAACTGAGCTCCCCTACCTCCCACCCAGAAAAATCTCAGAGGCTATTCTTTTGCTGCTTGGAATTCGAAAATATACACGACTCAGTAGCAGGGGGAAATATGGCCAAATCTATTGATTCTAAAATTACAAGCGCAATGGACCTTTCTGTTAAGTCTTTCTAGTCTGGCTTGCTTTTCTTTTGCTTTTTCTAAAAAGTTTCCTTTTGGTTTCACATTCTGACCTTTTGAAGAAACTTCTTAATTCAGAATATAACATAGGAAAGTACTTACTTGTACGAAGAGAAAAACTTGGTCTTGCCTACAGGCTTATCTTGTTGGTTGGAACTGGACTGAGCTCCAAAAAGAGAAGCCCATTATTTTTAAATCATCTTGTGAATGGCGCTGTCTGGCGGCGCAATAGCATAATGGCCCTTTTGTTTTGAAATGTGGTCTCTCTCCCTGCTCATAATGAACTGGATCAGGAATGATTTCTCTCTCCCTGCTTCAGAAGGAATTGTGTACTTTGAATTTAGACTGGTGCTTCCCCTCATTGCCCCCCTCTCCTTTTTAATATTTATCTCTCTCTCTCAATCTCTTTTGGAATTTTTAAATTAATTCTTTGGACTATTTGAAATATCTGATCAGCTTGTCTGAAATACTATTGGATGATTATTTTCAATTTTATGTAATTTTAAAAATGCATTTACAGAATTAGATTTTCAAAATTAACATCCCATGGATCACTGTTCTCCTCAGATTTGGATTTGACATTAAGTTTACTCTTGTCATCTCCATTTCTAAACTGGAGAACTGGCATTGACCGTAGACACCTTCAAGATCATGTGGCCAGCATGCCTGCATGGAGTGCCTCCACTGCATGGAGATTTTAATGGCTTAATCTTAAAAGAGAACACATTATTGTTCTTTACCAAATCATTGTTCTTTGTGTACACCAACCTGAAATCTTTCGGTTGGTTCTCTTTCTATGTTTGGAAATGAATTCACAATGCCAACTGCTTTGCTTCTCCTTTCACTGTGATCTAGTCTCTGCAGAGACATTTCCTGTATCATTTCACTTCACACACCACAAGAAACATTCATGAACTTTTATTCTACCATTTAATAATTCAAGCTTGAGGTGCTTCATCTTTTTCCTATATTAACATTTCCTGAGATAAGTTCATTTTCAATTCAGGTTGAACATCTTAGAAGAAAAATACATTCATATCAAATATCGTTTTTAATTTTCTTAGAAGGATTCAAAGTGTAACAACCCTTTCAGTTTTTTATTCATTCTTATCATTGTGAAATTTTAACTCTGGAGACACAGTATAATACAGTGAAACCTCAACTTAAGAACACTTTGAGTTAAGAGCTATCACTTGGCTTGGTTTGACATACGAGCACCATTTTGACTAAAGAGCTAGCACCAGAGGGAGCGCTAGCACGAGAGTATAGGTCTTTAGGGCTTCATGGGAGCAGCCTCCATGCCTCATGCCTCGTGCTCTTGCCTGCTTTGGGAGATTGTTGTCCGCTTTTCTCTTGCTTGTTTTGAGGTACCTTGGGTTAGTTGATTTTGTGTGGTGTTTATTCCTGGTATGTTTGGCTTCATGAAGAGAGAGAGGGAGAGAGATCAAGACAGGGAGGGAGGCTGGAATGAGTACAGTATGAAGAAAATGATGCTTCTGCCTCCTCACTTTGTGTTTCCTTTACATGACTTTGTGCTTCTACCATTTTAAAGTTGAGCTTTCTTTTTTTCATTGTTCCATGTAATGTGCAGGTTTTGCATTGCTGTTACACTGGCCAACACACATTTTATTGCCTCAAATGTGCTTCAACTTATTGCCTCAAATGTGCTTCAAATGTGCCACAACTTTATGCTTCTACCATTGCAAAAATTATCTTTCTTTTTTATTGTTCTATGTGAGTGTGCATTTATACATTGTTTGTTATTTGAAAAATACATTTTGTTATTTTAAAACCATAACAAAAAATTGAGGCTGGAATAGATTAATAGCATTTTAATGGGAAAACTTGCTTTGAGATAAGAACAATTTGAGTTAAGAGCTCAGCCACAGAATGATTTAAACTCTTAATTCGAGGTATCACTGTATGTGATTAACAGTTCAGAATACATATAACATGAAATGCTATGTAAAATGGGTGTGTTTCTTAAAACCAAACTGCACAATGCATCACCTGCATGAGTGTTTCTAAAGCCCCCTTTTTGAATCAGGCCTGCAAGCCATGTGAATTTTTCAATGAGATCCTTTCTACATTTGTGCCAAAAATTCACTTTCAAAAACTTACCTTGATATCAGAAATACAATATCTAAGGATATCAAGAGAATAAGTTTAGGAAGAAAGTGAGATGCCAATGTAATAAAAAGATAACAAAATATTTCATCTTTTAAGATATTTTATTTAGACTGCTACAGTGATATAAACGGACAATTCTAACAATTATCTTTGTAAATACTTTTCTTTTCAGGTCGGCATTGCCTCATAGATTAGTGTTGATGAATAAATTTCATTTTGACATAAATTTCACTTTGACATAGTATCCCTTGAAATTTACATTTTTCAAACAATATAGAATCTATAATGAAATGAATCTGTTTTTCTTTGTAATTCTCTTGTAGTGCGTTGAACATTATAACAAATATAACATTTACATTTAATCGATTCCGGATTAATTTGGGATTGCCATTTGTGATGAGTAACCGCCCTAAATCCCTTCGGGGAGAGTGGGTGGGTTATAAATAAAGTTGTCATCTTCCTCTTCTTCCTCTTCTCTTTCCTCCTCCTCTTCTTCTTCTTCTTTATTATTATTATTATTATTATTATTATTATTATTATATTCTCTTATTTCACCTTTTACATATAAATTCTATTCACATATTGTAAACAATAAACAATCCTTAGTGTGATTATCAATTCTTGGTTTGCAATTTTCTGAACATTGCAATACAATTCTCTGATCAAAACACGAAATAAATAATAAATTGTGCATATCAAGGAATACCAAATGTGGGACACAGATTTCCCTCACCCCAATTCTAAATCCACACCTAGCCTCAGTAAGGCAAATCAAGGCATTCTGAGAAATGTGCACAAAAATGTCCTGACCCCCACAATTTTCCAAATTGATTTTGAAATACGGTGGAACAATTATGGAATCAAATTAAAAGCCGACAATGGAAATGAGGAAGGCTCATTCATCTTGAGTCATAATTCATCATTGATATCCCAGCAGAACTTGAAGGGCAGCTTTTCCATCCGTTCCTTGAAAACACTGTCAAACCTTTCACTCTGTGCCACCGTCATTGTGTTTTTCCAGTCTCCAATGGTACCTGGTGCCGATTTCAGAAAGAAAGGGAGAGACAGTCTCCATTATCTGGTGAAAGGAACGGTGGAGGTAAAATCTTCACCCTTATTATGGAGGATGATTAGGGTACCACTATCTTACAAGCGGCTCATGTCCCATGTCTCTTGTTGGCTCAGTTAGAAAGGCCACAAACTTTAAAACAAAATCTTGCTACCAGTATTAAAAAAAACCCTCTAAAATCAGGACAGTAAATAAATAACAACACAAAAAACCAGGGGAATTCCAGACAGTAAACAATCAGGGCCAGCTAACACTTCCCAACAAAGGATTCCCCCAGACAGGAAGCATCCAGACTTTGATGTTGCAAGACCACTCAATGCTAATCAAGCCGGCCAATTGTAACATTCACACTTGCCTCCAACAGACAAGAGTTCCTTCTCCCACCCTGGACATTCCACTGATATATAAACCTCACTTGCCTAGTCTCCAACAGACCTCACAACCTCTGAGCAAGCCTGCCATAGATGTGGGTGAAATGTCAGGAGAGAATGCTTCTGGAACATGGCCATATAGCCTGGAAAATTCACAGCAACCCACTTAATAGAACCATAAGCAGGAATTTTCCCCAAAACAGAAGTGAACATGCATGCACTTTTGTTTCTTTTTATAAAACAAGTGTGTGATGCTTGTGTTGTTTCTGGAGAGAATTTGATAGAATCCACAATAAGTGAGGACAAAATTAAGCATACTTCATCACTATGAAAATCATTTTTATAGAAGTCTGATAATTTGCATATGCCTAAAACATAACATAGCAGAAACCAGGTGAGCCTGTGTGACATTTGCTTAAATACAGTAGAGTCTTGCTTCTGCAACCTTCGCTCATCCAACAGTCTGTATTATCCAACACAGTCTGCTTCCTGCCGGATCCACACCTATTTCAATACATTGCAATGTTTTGGTACTAAATTCATAAATACAGTAATTACTACCTAACGTTACTGYTTCTTCTGTCGATTTGTTGTAAAACATGATGTTTTGGTGCTTAATTTGTAAAATCATAACATAATTTGATGTTTAATAGGCTTTTCCTTAATCCCTCCTTATTATCCAACATTTTCGCTTATCCAACRTTCTGTCAGCCCATTTATGTTGGATAAGCGAGACTCTACTGTACTTCCCTTGGGTACTGTCAGCTACAGATTTACCTTTGCGGAGGAAACGTCCTTTGCTGTGATCTAAGATATCAGACGATATGTTCTCAGCATTTGTTCTAGGATCTGCCCTCATTTTGTCAATCGAAGCCTTAGCCATAATATCATCCACCTGCTCTTCATTCAAACTCTTTCTTAGGAAGCTGCAAATTTTCAGAATGGCACTTCTCAGATCCTGAAATGGGACATGGTTTAGTTATAACGCCTTGCAGAAGTGAAGGTCTCCAGGGTCATATCTACACTTACTAGTGAGGTTGGTGTGTGTGCGGATCAATCCTACAGTGGCTAAATGCGACATGGGGCTGATCTGGTTTAACCCAAGTCAAGGGCAGTCAAAACAGGTGGGCAAGGTACAACCAAAAAATGTAGGTTGGCAAGCAGGCTCAATGCAGTGTTCTGCTTCAGCAATCAATATAGAAAGGCTCCGGGGCTGACTAATTTCATAGATCTGACAAGATAGTAGGAATTGTTTAGTAACAAACATTTAGTAAGGCACCTACTTTGTGAGAGGCTAAAAAGGAATTTCAGAGCTCTCCTTCAACATGCCCACTTTTCTTTAAGCAACAGATATAAATTCAATCATTATAGCAAGGGTCGGCTCAAAAAACCTGACTTGGCCAGAGTGGTCCACACCTTAGTTATATCTAGAATTGACTACTGAAATGCACTCTACGTGTGGCTGCCTTTGAAGACGGCACGGAAACTGTAGTTAGTGCAAAGGTCGGTAGCTAGATTACTAACCGAGACTAGCTATAGGGAGCATACCATGCCACTATTAAAGCAGCTCCACTGGCTGCCAACAAGTTTCCAGGCCCAATTCAAAGTGCAGGTTATTATCTTTAAAGCCCTATATGCTTCAGGTCCAGCCTACCTTCAAGACCACATCTCCTTCTATGAACTGCCGTGGGCTCTAACATCTGCCAGTGAGGCCCTTCTCTCCGTCCCGCCTCTGTCTCAAGTGTGGCTGGTGGGGATGAGAGAGAGGGCCTTCTTGGTGGTGGCCTCCACTTTTCAGGTTTTTCAGAAACACCTGAAAACATGGCTTTTCACACAAGCCTTTGACCATATTTATGGATTATGATTACTATACTCAACAACTTAGTGAGTGGTCACTTCTGCACTTTATGGGGATTAATATTGTATATAGCTGCTATTTTTAGCTTGCTGGGGGTTGTTTTTAGTATCTTTTACATTGATAGGGGTTTTATTACTGTTTGTGTGCAATTGGGTCAATTTCATTGTTATTACTTTTACCTTTTTGGATTTTGTTGTATTTGTATTTTGCTGGACTATTGAGTGCTTTCTGTGAGTCGCCCTGAGCCCCTCTGGCCAGACGGTGGCAGGATACAAATAAAGGTATTATTTATTTATTTATTTATTTATTTTCCCATCATATCCCAATGCATGTGCTTTTCTATGGGATGCTTTGATTTGTAAAGGAAATCTAGATTTAATTTGCAATTCTGAACACTCAGAAACACCATTGCGGCTGCTGGGTCTTTCCCTGCTGACTTTGCAGAACATTGAAGATACCATTGACGCAGGAAAGGTCTGCTAAAGAACGTATAAATGTTTGCTTGTTCCCAAATTTTCTCTGACAAAGTTAAGTTGCTATTCTTGGAAAGTTGTTGTTAGGATTTTACCTTCTTCATTTCTTCATAAACAAGAAACAGAATATTGAAGTTGTCCTTCTGAGCATACCAGCCTTCTATGTGGTCTAACCATAAATCACCCACTACTTGTAGAAGAAAGAATAAATGTTAGTGCACTTTTAAAAGACATTTGGCATAACTGGCAAGTTTTAAATTCAGCTTTGATCTCAGTCGTCAACTGTGACCCCCATTTCAAGATGCTACCTAAACGTTAGGAAGAACTTCCTGATGGCAAGAGCTGTTTGGCAGTGGAATATGCTGCTTCCTTGTAGTGTGTTTGCATCTCCTTCTCTGAAGCTTTTTAAATAGAGGCAGCATGGTCATCTGTCAGGAGTGCTTTGATTTCATGTTCCTTCATGGCAGAGGTTTGGACTGGGTAGTTCTTAGCTTCTACAAACAATCGTGTTTGTCATGAGTCCCTCTTGCATTATCCACTGATTTTATGTAAGAATTGCTCTTTTATGAAGACATTTTAGAATTCAGTTCTTGTAGGGTTTTTCAGGTTATCTGGCCATGTTCTAGAGGCATTTCTCCTGACATTTTGCCTGCATCTATGGCAAGCATCCTCAGAGGTGAGGTCTGCTGGAACTGGGAAAAAGGGGGTTTATATATCTGTGGAATGACCAGGGTGAGACAAAGGGCTTTTGTAAGTTGGGCTAGGTGTGAATCTTTCAACTGACCACCTTGATTAGCATACAATGGGCTGACTGTGCCTGGAGCAAACTCTTCTTGAAAGGTGATTAGATGTCCCTGCCTGTTTTTCTCTCTGCTGTTTTTGCTGTTGCAATTTTAGAATTTTTTAATACTGGTAGCCAGATTTTGTTCATTTTCATGGTTTCTTCCTTTCTGTTGAAATTGTCCACATGTTTGTGGATTTCAATGGCTTCTCTGTGTAGCCTGACATGGTGGTTGTGAGAGTGGTCCAGCATTTTTGTGTTCTCAAATAAAATGCTGTGCCCAGGTTGGTTCATCAGGTTGGTTCATTTTAGAATTGTCCTCCTTTCTTATAGAAACCAGGGTGAAAGATGACAATGTATCTGCATACATCACACAACAGTCTTGCTGACCACATTCTTGTACCTGGTACAGCTTTTGTGCCACACATAAGGACAGTTCATTACAGTAATCATAATGTATGGCATCAGCCATCACTGTGATTGAACCATCCTTATGCAGGAGCTGCTGAAATTGGTGAAAAAGTAGAATCTGGTAAAAGGTGTCATGTGTGGGGCTATCCCACTTATATTTTAGGAATATACCTGTCAGGTTATATAATGTATATACTAGTATTTAAGTCGGCTTCAAGTATAAGTCGAGAGCAGGTTTTGGGATCAGAATTATGGATTTTGATAATGACCCATGGATAAGTTAAGGGTGATTTCACAGAGAGGGCAAACCTCCAATGCCATCTCAGGTAAACAGCCCCCCCCCCCCTCCTGCCATTTCGCCACCCAGATTTTCAAAGGAATCAGAAGCAGCACCTTTTTGGAGAGAGTAGATGGTGTCTATGCTTTGGTCTACSCAAATTTTTAGGATTGATCTTTTAACACACACACACACACACACACACACACACACACACACACACACGGTTTCTGCATGTACCTGAGTGTGCACTGTAAATCTTTTTCCTGATCTTTGTGAATGTAGGCAAGGATGTATGTTTGCTATGTGATGAAAGAGACATTATTTGTCTCTTTCACATTTCAATCTTTGATCAAAGGGGGGGGGGGTGACATAGGGGTAAAAACAAACCATTTWWTAAATATGTATTAATGCTTACYTTTACCAGCCAGAAACCTTTCCATGAACATGTTGAAATCTTCTATTTCTTCATGTGAGACAGCAAATTTGGAGTAATGATAATAGGACACCAAGACATCCTTTGGGTTTCTCATCACATAAATAACCTGCATAAAAATAACATTAACACCTTCTAGTGAGATAGAATTTCTGCTCACATGAACGATATGCCTGTCAATGGGACTTTCCCTCAAATGCTTCTCATCCCATTTTCTGGTTTCATAGTAATTGGTGTTGTTGTTATGTTAATAAATTTTAAAATGAACAATCTAATTTACAGTGAAAGTAATACACATTCAAAAATGAAGAAACAGAAGGAGGAAAAGAAAAGAAGAAAAAGAAGAAGACAAGTATAACTTATGCACAGTAGAGCTTTGGCACCTCCTATTTCTCATTGCAATGAACAGGAAAGTAAAAAAGAAGTCTAACTTTACGGATCTGACTAAATAATTCCACTAAAAAGACTAATAACTATATCATCAGATTATTACATAATTGCATTTCTCATTGCATAGACTCCTTATCTGATATAATTTAATTAATTAATTAAGTAAGTAAACGAATTACTAAATTTCAGAGTAATGAATCCCAGAAGTGAAGCAGGTAACAATAATGCTACTAGCAATTATGATGCTCCGTTTCTGCAAATCTTGTCCCTACATGTTTTATTTTAAATTCCATTTATATGCTAAAGAAACCAGGAGCTTTAAAAGCCAATGTTAGCATGACATATGTTTTCAGTTTGGCTTGTAGGATTTTGTCATAACTGTCAGGCAAAACCTGCGAATAGCTCACAATCCCACAACCTTCCCATAACCTGATTTCTGCAATGGGTTCATTCCTATTTTGTTATTCCTCTCTCACTCTCTCCCCCTTTCCCTTGCTATTTCTGAAATTATGGTTATTCAATATTGTAGATATATTTTCTTTGTTGTTATTACGTGCTGAAACTATGATATCATTTTTTTTGTTGTGTCAGGAGCAACCTGAGAAACTGCAAGTTGCTTCTGGTGTGAGAGAATTGGCCGCCTGCAAGGACGTTACCCAGGGGACGCCAGGATGATTTTGATGATTTATCATCATTGTGGGAGGCTTCTCTCATGTCCCTGCATGAGGAGCTGGAGCTGATAGAGGGAGCTCATCCGCCTCTCCCCGGATTCAAACCTGCGACCTGTCAGTCTTCAGTCCTGCCAGCACAGGTGTTCAACCCACTGCGCCACTGGGGGCTCCTGATATCATTGTAAAAAGTAATAAATAAATAAACACAGTAACAGCAGTGCAGGAAGCTAGGGTTATGAGGACATGCAGAAGTACAACTGCAGGACCATGGATTGGAAAACAGGAGTAATTGTGTGAATAAAAAAAGGTGCAATACCAAAGGTGCTCATCCCAGTAGGTATCCACTATCTATAATAGCACAACTGCTGTGGAATAGCAACTTTGTGTAAAAATGTCCATAGACTAACAATAATAATAATAATAATAATAATAATAATCATCATCATCATCATTTTATTTATACCCCACCACCTCCCCAAAGGGACTAACATGAGGCAAAGCCCAAATAATTACAATAAAGCAAAGTAAAGTACATACAAAACAGATGATAACATCACATAAAAATGCTTAACATTAACATAGTAATTGTTGTTGTTCATTCGTTCAGTCGTCTCCAACTCTTCGTGACCTCATGGACCAGCACCAGAGCTCCCTGTCGGCCGTCACCACCCCCAGCTCCTTCAAGGTCAGTCCAGTCACTTCAAGGATGCCATCCATCCATCTTGCCCTTGGTCGGCCCCTCTTCCTTTTCCTTCCACTTTCCCCAGCATAATTGTCTTCTCTAGGCTTTGCTTTCTCCTCATGATGTGGCCAAAGTACTTCAACTTTGTCTCTAGTATCCTTCCCTCCAATGAGCAGTCGGGCTTTATTTCCTGGAGGATGGACTGGTTGGATCTTCTCTCAGTCCAAGGCACTCTCAGAACTTTCCTCCAACACCACAGCTCAAAAGCATCTATCTTCCTTCGCTCAGCCTTCCCTAAGGTCCAGCTCTCACATCCGTAGGTTACTACAGGGAATACCATGGCTTTGACTAGGCAGATCTTTGTTGCCAGTGTGATGTCTCTACTCTTTACTATTTTATCGAGACTGGACATTGCTCTCCTCCCAAGAAGTAAACGTCTTCTGATTTCCTGGCTACAGTCTGCATCTGCAGTAATCTTTGCACCTAGAAATACAAAGTCTGTCACTGCCTCCACATTTTCTCCCTCTATTTTCCAGTTATCAATCATTCTTGTTGCCATAATCTTGGTTTTTTTATGTTTAGCTGCAACCCAGCTTTTGCGCTTTCTTCTTTCACCTTGATTAGAAGGCTCCTCAGCTCCTCCTCGCTTTCGGCCATCAGAGTGGGGTCATCTGCATATCTGAGGTTGTTAATGTTTCTTCCAGCAATTTTCACCCCAGCTTTGCATTCATCAAGCCCCGCACATCGCATGATGTGTTCTGCATACAAGTTAAAAAGGTTGGGTGAGAGTATGCAGCCTTGCCGTACGCCTTTCCCAATCTTGAACCAGTCTGTTGTTCCGTGGTCAGTTCTGACTGTTGCTACTTGGTCCTTGTACAGATTCCTCAGGAGAGAGACAAGGTGGCTTGGTATGCCCATCCCACCAAGAACTTGCCACAATTTATTATGATCCACACAGTCAAAGGCTTTAGAGTAGTCAATGAAGCAGAAATAGATATTTTTCTGAAACTCCTTGCCTTTCTCCATTATCCAGCGGATATTGGCAATCTGGTCTCTCGTTCCTCTGCCTTTTCTAAACCCAGTTTCTAAACATAGTAATGCATTTTTTTATAATAACATAATAGAAACAAAGTATAAATGCTAAAAGAGTTAAACAAGGGGGAGCTGGGCCAAATGTAAAGAGTAAAAACTGTAAAACCCGTGGGTGTGAGAGATCAATAAGATGCTGTGTCTAGTGGGAGGCTCGGGTGGGATAAACAATGAGGTTAATCTACACGGAGGGATGAGATGAAAACAAGACAGATAGAGCTGGCTTCTCAAATGGAATTACCTTGTTGTAGCTATAGCTAATGAAGAAAAAACATTATTTCATTGTTCTTTTACTGCTGTCCCCTTTATGGCCATGAAAGAGCTAACCTCTAGCTTCACCAAATCTACCTTGATACCTTGGTAGATTCGGTGAATCTACCTTCACTGAATCTACCAAGGAAAGTAAACAGCCCCATTCACCTTCTGCTGCCTGATTATTTACCCGATGAAGCAGCCAGTGAGCTTTGGAAATTAGTATTATGCATTCTACAGCTTTTCAAAGGTAATCTAATGTCTTCATCTGCTCTGAGTTCCTTATGAGGCTGAAATCTGTATTTGCAATTTTTGTCTCAGAACAGCTAAAATCAGTCCACACTGAACTCCACTACTGCTCCGCATATACCTCTTCTGGGGATGTGAGGAAACAAGCCCACATGCTCCTGCACATGAAGAAAGCTTTCTACTTTAAAACCCATATGAGGAAACAACTGAAACCTTTCCCTGTGGCACCCAAATACATATTTTCCTTTACTGCTCACACTTTTTAGTCTTAGGAATTTAACGGATTCCTTTCAGATCTGGATCAATGTAGCAGAGAAAGTTAATAACACTAAAAGGAGGTGGAGGTGAGTGTAGATAAAGTTAAAAGAAGGTGAAGTAAGCACCTTCCTATGTGATGAAGGAACTATTGGTAGCATGTGCAAATTCCACAGAAAAGCCCTATTTCCCCATAAATTAAAAAAAATCAGTTTGCCAAGGCTTGTTACCACCATTTTTATTATGAACCCACCTGAGAAGTCCCGTTCCCAGCCTCCTTTGCTAGTAGCGATGGCTGGGCAGGAAGGGCAAGCTAGAGCCATCACTTCTCAAGGGATGGCCAGCCCATTAGTATCTACAAGTTGTTCATAAGTTGAAGTTCATAATTTGGGAACTGTCGGTGAATACCTTTGGTTATCTATGACCTAGGAGTCATGGTGGTGCAAAGGTTAAACCCTTGCACTGACTGAACTGCTGACCTGAAGGTCGGCGGTTCAAATCTACGAGACGAAGTAAGGAGACATGCGAGAAGCCACCCACAGGATGTTAAAAACATCCAGGTATCCTCTAGGCAACATCCTCGCAGATGGTCAATTTTCTCACACCAGAAGCAACTTGCAGTTTCTCAAGTCTCTTTTGTTGTTGGCTCTGGGCACACAATATTGCAGTTACAGCATTTCTAGCATAGCACAAATAAGAGAGCACAGCCAACAACACAGATCATGTGGTGATGTCATTTACTGTCAAAGTGGTTCGCCAAAACGTAACAGCATATAACTGAAATTTTAGTTCTCATCTTTTACATCAACACCTTCAAATTGTTTTTGACTTACGACAACTCTATGATGATCCTATCAATGTGCTGTTCAAAAGAATTTTGTCTTTACCTTCCTCTGAAGCTGAAGGAGAGTGACCTTCCCAAGATCCTGGCTGAGCAGGGGTTCAAACTCTGGTCTCAAGAGCAATAGACTAAAGCTTAAACCATTGTGCCTCACTGGCTTTCACAAACCTTCAAATGGCTCCTAGAAATGTTATGGTCAAAATTTACCTTCTGCAGGTGCTCTATTTCTGGTAAATTCAGTGCAGTTAGCAAGTCATGACATTTAAGTAAACATAACAATAGAAGTAGTACATTCTACCTTGGTTCTCCCATTACTTAGACCCTTTGGCACAAATTGGGAGTTCATGTGGGTAGTAAAGAGACGAGGTGATGGGCGATTGGCATAATCAATATCGCGGAATTTATATTCCAGAAATGGAGCTCTGTCCAAGAGGTCCATGCTTTCAGTTCCATTTCAATGACCTTCATGATAGATCATGCTCAAAATATGCTGTGTCCAAATGGTGCCTATGTAAATAAGAACAACCTGATTCATTCCAGGGCATCCAGTTACCTTTTATTTTCAAGGTTCGGATTGCAATGCTTGAGGAGACATAAAGGAAGTGTCCGAAGCAAAGGCAACATTGGCTGAATCAGATCAGAGCAACAGAGGATAAGATACAGAAGATTCAGGATGTTACTTTCAAGCACTAATTGAGTATCAATATTCATAGAATCATAGAGTTGGAAGAGAGTACAAAGGCCATCCAACCCAACCCCCTGCCTTTCTCCCTGTAAGGGGCCCAAGGTGATAAATGCTGAGGTAGAAGATGGTATTGTTTGCTTGTTTATTATGTTTATTTATATCCCACTTTTTCTCTCCATATGGAAACTCAAAGCAGCTCACAACTAAAATCCCACTTAAAATATACATATATAAAAATAGCAGATGATTTCCCGGGTGGGATGGGGCCAAAGATAAGTCAGGTGACGCGTGGTGTGGGGTGACAGGTTTTCCACACACGCCACCAGGACTCCAGGGATTTGCCACAATGTGTGATGAATACATATGTTAATGTGATGAAGTCTATAGTCACTTTCCAAAAATGGTGATATGGTATAATGGATGACTCTGAAATGAAACTTTTTCAAAAAGAAAATATTACAAATTTCGGATAAGAGATTATAAACACATCACTGTCTCTGATTTCAAAATCCCACAATGAATCAATGTAGTATTTTGTTTTATCTTCTCAATGCACAACTTTGACCTGAGTCTGTCCTTCCTCAGCTTGTCTTTCTATGACCCATTCTGTTCTTTTTCTGCTTCTTTACATTTTTATCTCAAATTTTTAAAAAAGCATTACTTCCTTTTTTAAAATGTGTGCCATTCAGTCGATTGAAGACATAGCGGAGCACTAGTGGTCTTGTTCGAGAGGCGGGAGTATAAAGTTTTGTCCTGACACAGTTCAGTTGCCATCATGTGTTGGAACAGCGAGGAGTGTGCTTTTGCCATTGAGGCCTACTTTTCGAGCGGATTTGGAGTGGCCGGCCCGCTCTCCAGATTCGGCCTCTTGTGATTTTTTTCTATGGGGTTTTTTGAAATCCCATGTTTATGTGAACCATCCAAGGACACTAGAAGATTTGAAGACCAACATCCAGGATGAAATTGCCAACATAACGCCTGCTATGCTGGCAAGAGTCCTGAAAAATGCCAGAAATCGGTTTACTCAGTAAATGGAGAATGGGGGACGTCACCTACCTAATTTGATCTTCAAAACTACATAAAACAAAACTTTAGGTATGTGCCTACATTATAAAAAAAATTCTGATTCATATAATGGGTTTTATTAAGTTTTGAAAAAAAGAAGTTATGCTGCCTCACCTGTATATTTGCTTTGTTCAGTCATAGGCCCTTTCCAAGAAATGGAGGGGACAACATAAAGATACCAAGAAAGTATGTTAATTCGTATACATTTGCTCCATCTCCTGCCCCAACACCCCTTTTTCCTGAATATCCTCTTCTATTCTCAAAACAGTGATTAATGAATTAACCAGCTAGAAATCTCTTGCTATGCAGCTGTGGCTTGTGGCATAGAATAATGGATTTCTATGTAACAGAACATTTTTTCCAAGGTAAATATTACAAATCTTACCTGATTTCAGATAAGAGACTATAAACACATCACTGTCTCTGATTTCAAAATCCCGCAATGAATCAATGTATTCTGGGGTAGTCACACTTTGAATAAAATAGGATCCTTTGTGTTTGAACACATATTTCTCTGATGGCTCCATTCTTAGTGCACAAAAATACAAAACATAAAAACAGTTCTCTTGATTGAATAGCATTAGAAACAATGAAGAATATATGGAGGAATTGATTCATCTGTTTTAAACATTAGTGATATCCAGTTAGTCTTCCCTATTTGTGCTCACATCTGGATCTGGTGACTTAATGATGGAGCAGAGGGCACAGAAACACCAATTGCCATCATGCCTGGCTGCAGTGCTACCTCTGAAAGGCTTTGATAAACTCCATAGAAGCAAGTGCTGGAAGACTAAAAGCCACAAGTATTAAAACTATACTAACTGAGCTCCCCTACCTCCAACCCAGAAAAATCTCAGAGGCTATTCTTTTGCTGCTTGGAATTCAAAAATATACTTGACTCAGTATATAGCAGGGGGAAATATGGCCAAATCTATTGATTCTAAAATTACAAGTCTAATGGACCTTTCTGTTAAGTCTTTCTAGTCTGGCTTGCTTTTCTTTTGCTTTTTCTAAAGAGTTTCCCTTTGGTTTTCACATTCTGACCTTTTAAAGAAACTTCTTAATTTAGAATATAACATAGGAAAATACTTACTTGTATGAAGAGAAAAACCTTGTCCTGGCAACAAGCTTAACTTGCTGGTTGGAACTGAACTGAACTCCAGAAAGAGAAGCCTAATATTTTTAAATCATCTGTCGAATGGCGCTGTCTGGTGGCACAATGGTATAATGGCACTTTTGTGGTCTCTCTCTCTGCTTCATAATGAACTGGATCAGGAATGATTTCTCTCTCCCTGCTTCAGAAGGAATTGAGTCCTTTGAATTTGGACTGGTGCTTCCCCTCATTCTCTCTCTCTCTCTCTCTCTCTCTCTCTATATATATATATATGGAATTTTTTGGACTATTTGAAATATCTGAGCAGCTTGTCTGAAATACTATTGGATGATTATTTTCAATTTTATGTAATTTTAAAAATGCATTTACAGAATTAGATTTTCAAAATTAATATACCATGGATCACTGTTCTCAGATTTTGATTTGGTAAAAGTTTGCCCTTGACATTAAGTCGAGTCGTATCCTCTCTATTTCTAAACCAGAGAGCTGGCATTGCCTGTAGACACCTCAAGATCATGTGGCCAGCATGACTGCATGGAGTGCTTCCACTGCATGGAGATTTTAATGGCTTAATCTTAAAAGAGAACACATTATTGTTCTTTACCAAATCATTGTTCTTTATGTACACCAACCTGAAATCTTTGGCTTGGTTCTCTTTCTATGTTTGGAAATGAATTAAATTAATATATTTACTAAGAATATTCACAATGCCAACTGCTTTGCTTCTCCTTTCACTGTGATCTAGTCTCTGCAGAGACATTTCCTGTATCATTTCACTTCACACACCACAAGAAACATTCATGAACTTTTTTTCTACCATTTAATAATTCAAGCTTGAGGAGCTTCATCTTTTTCCTATATTAACATTTCCTGAGATAAGTTCATTTTCAATTCAGGTTGAACATCTTAGTAGAAAAATACATTCATATCAAATATCGTTTTTAATTTTCTTAGAAGGATTCAAAGTGTAACAACCCTTTTTTATTCATTCTCACCATTGTGAAATTTTAACTCTGGAGACACAGTATAATACAGTGAAACCTCAACTTAAGAACACTTTGAGTTAAGAGCTGTCACTTGGCTTGGTTTGACGTACGAGCACCATTTTGACTAAAGAGCTAGCACCAGAGGGAGCGCTAGCACGAGAGTATAGGTCTTTAGGACTTCATGGGAGCAGCCTCCATGCCTCATGCCTCGTGCTCTTGTCCCATTTGGGAAATTGTTGTCCGCTTTGCTCTTGCTTGTTTTGAGGTACCTTGGGTTAGTTGATTTTGTGTGGTGTTTATTCCTGGTATGTTTGGCTTCATGAAGAGAGAGAGGAAGAGAGTTTAAGAGAGGGAGGGAGGCTGGAATGAGTACAGAATGAAGAAAATGATGCTTCTGCCTCCTCACTTTGTGTTTCCTTATCATGACTTTGTGCATTTACCATTTTAGAGTTGAGCTTTCTTTTTTCATTGTTCCATGTAATGTGCAGGTTTTGCATTGCTGTTACACTGGCCAACACAGATTTTATTGCCTCAAATGTGCTTCCTTGCCACAACTTTGTGCTTCTACCATTTCAAAAATTATATTTTTTTATTGTTCTATGTGGGTGTGCATTTATATATTGTTTGTTATTTGAAAAATACATTTTGTTATTTTAAAACCATAACAAAAATGGAGGCTGGAATAGATTAATAGCATTTTAATGGGAAAACTTGCTTTGAGATAAGAGCAATTTGAGTTAAGAGCTCAGCCATAGAACGAATTAAACTCTTAATTCAAGGTATCACTGTATGCGATTAACAGTTCAGAATACATATAACATGAATGCTATGTAAAATACTGGGATACTTGATCGTCGTTTCCCTTGACCCATGGCTGTTTTGGATTGTTGGCCTGCCGCTATCATATGAGACGCCTGTCACCACGTCTCTATATCCACTCCCGGAAGGGCTAGTGCTAACCATCTCGCCTGTCATCGCGTCTTCCGTCTCCAGTCCTGAAAGGACTAGTGTTGACCATCTCACCAGTTGAGCTCGTTTGCCATCTGACTGTTCATTTCCATTCCAATTAAGACTGAAGATTAAGAACTGAAGTATAACTGCACTTTAAAATACTGAATTGTGCTGCTAACTTGCCCAACTTCAACACTTTAATCCACTGCCTTACAGTGAAGTGTATCTGTACTGATAACTTGCCAACTTCTGCACTTTAATTCACCGAGTTAACTTTGAAGCAAATATTGATGTGAATTTGTGCTGCTAACCTGCCAACTTCAGCACTTTAATTTACTGACTCAACAACTGGCACTTGAATACCAACCCCTCCATGTCACACCTTATTTGATACTTTAATTGTCTATCAACTTGTGACGTCCCTCTGCACTTTAATAGCTATATCTTCTAGCACTTTACACCTGCTGGCACTTTACGAACTTCTAGCGATACTATATTGAATATATTACCCATGCTGCTCCCCATCGCCTGGTATCTGCTAAGTGTATTGTTATCGAATTGGGAAAGTGATAAGGGGGGGGGGGAGCGGATTTGAGAAGTTTGGTTATAACAGAGCAGGGGGAGGAAATGAATGGAGGGGTGGATTACGGCAAGTGGATATACCAACAAATTACACAACTAAGTGTGAATTATGGGTTGAGAGTATAACAGTGGAGTGTGACATGGAGGAGGGAGGGCGTCCTGACAGCCGAGGGGGCCCTATAGAAACCATAGTGGGGAGGGGGAGATGCAGGAAAGGGAGACCATTAATTCGGCCTAGGGAATCTGGTAATTTAGTAACCATAAATCGGTCTCCTGACACGGTAAGTCGGTGTACCCAGGATGCGTGGTCCCTCCGGATTGAAGGTGGTGCTGTTGAATGCCAGATCTGTCAACGGGAAAACAACTTTCATCCAAGACTTCATCCTGGATGAGCATGCAGATCTGGCGTGCATTACGGAGACCTGGTTGGACGAAGCAGGAGGTGTAAATTTGACCCAGCTCTGCCCACCAGGGTTCTCTGTGCAGCACCAACCAAGATCCGGAGGGCGGGGAGGCGGGGTTGCAGTGGTCTATAGAAATACTATCCCTCTGACCAGGGGCCCCATCCCGCAGTCAACCAATTTTGAATGTGTCCATCTGAGAGTGGGTGACCGGGACAGAATAGGGATTCTGTTAGTGTACCCCCCACCTCGCTGCACTACAGTCTCCCTACCTGAGCTAGCAGGGGTGGTCTCAAGCTTGGCATTGGAGTCCCAACGGCTTCTTGTGCCCGGGGACTTCAGTGTACACGCCGAGGCTACCCTAGTAGGAGCGGCTCAGGACTTCACGTCATCCATGGCAACCATGGGGAGATGTCTAGGGGTATCTGGCCCCACTCACAGTGCTGGACATACGTTGGATTTGGTTTTCTGTCAGGGATGGGAGCCTGGTGGCGGTGTTGAGGAGTTGACCATCTCCCCGTTGCCATGGACCGACCACTACCTGGTCAGATTTAGACTTACTGCACCTCCCAACCTCCGCAGAGGTGGGGGATCCATTAAGTTGGTCCGCCCTAGGAGGCTTATGGATCCAGATGGATTCCTGATGGCTCTTGGGGAGTTTCCCGCTGCCTCAGTAGGTGATCCTGTTGATGCCCTGGTCACTCTCTGGAATGGGGAGATGACTAGGGCAATAGACACGATTGCTCCAGAACGTCCCCTCTCAAGTAGCCGAGCTAAACCAGCTCCTTGGTTCAACGAGGAGTTGGCAGCGATGAAGTGAAGGAAGAGGGAACTAGAGAGCGTGTGGCGTTCGGAGCCGAGCGAGCCAAATCGAGCACGGTTTGTGTCCTTTTTAAGGGCATATGCCGCGGCAATAAAGTCTGCAAAGAAATTTTTCTTTGCGGATACTATTGCGTCTGCAAAGAACCATCCGGCTGAGCTGTTTCGAGTTGTTAGAGGCCTGTTAAACCCCACCACTCAGGATGGAAGCCCTGACAACCCAATAGCTCGCTGTGAAGCTTTTGCTCAGTTCTTCGCAGACAAAGTCGCTTTGATCCGCTCCGGTCTGGATACCATATTAACGGCAGTCTCTGAGGATGTAGCTGGAACATCTGCTTGCTCGGTTTTGATGGATTCATTTCAATTGGTGAAACCCAAGGATGTGGACAAGATACTTGGAGGAATGAGGCCTACCACGTCCATCCTAGACCCCTGCCCATCCTGGCTTCTGAAAGAGGCCAGAGGGGGATTGGCCGAGTGGGTAACGGTGGTGGTTAATGCCTCCCTTCGGGAAGGCAAGATTCCAGCGAGCTTAAAACAAGCTATTATAAAACCGCTGTTGAAGAAACCATCATTGGACCCCACTAAATTTGACAACTTTCGGCCAGTTTCCAATCTTCCCTTTTTGGGCAAAGTCCTGGAACGTGTGGTGGCTTCACAACTCCAGGTATTCTTGGAAGACACGGATTATCTGGATTCGGCGCAGTCTGGCTTTAGGCTGGGACATGGAACTGAAAAAGTCTTGGTCGCCTTAGTAGATGATCTTCGCCGGGAACTAGACAGGGGGAGTGTGTCCCTGTTGGTTCTGCTGGACCTCTCAGCGGCCTTCGATACCGTCGACCACGGTATCCTTTTGGGACGCCTCGCGGGAATGGGCCTTGGAGGCACTGTTTTGCCGTGGCTCCGGTCCTTCCTAGAGGGTCGTTCTCAGAAGGTTTTATTGGGAGACACCTGTTCTGCCCCACAACCATTGTCTTCTTGTGGGGTTCCTCAGGGTTCAATATTGTCTCCCATGTTGTTTAACATCTACATGAAGCCGCTGGGAGATCATCCGGAGTTTCGGAGTGCGATGTCATCTGTACGTGGATGATGTCCAACTCTGTCACTCCTTTCCACCTGCTTCTAAGGAGGCTGTTCAGGTCCTGAACCGGTGCTTGGCCGCTGTAACGGTCTGGATGAGGGCGAACAAATTGAAATTGAATCCAGGCAAGACAGAGGTCCTCCTGGTCAGTCGTAAGGCCGAACAGGGCATAGGGTTACAGCCTGTGTTTGATGGGGTTACACTCCCCCTGAAAACGCAGGTTCGCAGTCTGGGTGTGATCTTGGACTCATTGCTGAGCCTGGAACCCCAGGTTTCAGCGGTGACCAGGAGAGCATTCGCACAGCTAAAACTTGTGCGCCAGCTGCGCTCGTACCTTGGGAAGTCTGACTTGGCCACGGTGGTCCACACTCTGGTTACATCCCATTTAGACTACTGCAATGCTCTCTACGTGGGGTTGCCTCTGAAGACTGCTCAGAAGCTTCAAATGGTCCAACGATCGGCAGCCAGGATGCTAACAGGAGCGGCACTCAGGGAGCACACAACTCCTCTGTTGCGCCAGCTCCACTGGCTGCCAATTTGCTACCGGACACAATTCAAAGTGCTGGCTTTAGCCTTTAAAGCCCTAAACGGCTCTGGCCCGACCTACCTGTCCAAACGCATCTCCTCCTATGAACCAGTTAGGATGTTAAGATCATCTGGGGAGGCCCTGCTCTCGGTCCCGCCAGCTTCACAAGCACGCCTGGCGGGGACGAGAGACAGGGCCTTCTCAGTGGTGGCCCCTCGGCTGTGGAACGCCCTCCCTACAGACATCAGATCGGCCCCCTCTTTATTGGCATTCTGGAAGAGTGTGAAGACCTGGTTTTTTGAACAGGCTTTCAACTAAGCAGTGCAATTGATTGATTATTGGAATGGAATAATGGACAATGAGTTCGGATGCTGATTTTATTGATGAGACGTGATGGATTGTTATAGTGCTGTACTGTTGTATTGATATTTTGGTGTTAATTAATTGATACTACTGTTTTAATTGATTAATGATTTTGTATTGTGTTGTTGAAACTGGTTGTTAACCGCTCTGAGTTGCCTGAGGGCTGAGAAGAGCGGTATACAAATGAAGCAAATAAATAAATAAATAATAAAATGGGTATGTCTCTTAAGACCAAACTGCACAATGCATCACCTGCATGAGTGTTTCTAAAGCCCCCTTTTTGAATCAGGTTTGCAAACCATGTGAATTTTTCAATGAGATCCTTTCTACATTTGTGCCAAAAATTCACTTGCAAAAACTTACCTTGATATCAGAAATACAATATCTAAGGATATCAGGAGAATAAGTTTAGGAAGAAAGTGAGATGCCAATGTAATAATAAGATAAAATATTATATTATATTATTTTAGATTAAAATAATAAAATAAAATAACCAAATATATAATCTTTTGAGATATTTTATTTAGGCTGCTACAGTGATATAAACAGACAATTCTAACAATTATCTTTGTAAATACTTTTCTTTTCAGGTTGGCATTGCCTCATAGATTAGTGTTGGTGAATAAATTTCATTTTGACATAAATTTCACTTTGACATAGTATCCCTTGAAATTTACATTTTTCAAACAATATAGAATCTATAATGAAATTAATCTGTTTTTCTTTGTAATTCTCTTGTAGTGCACTGAACATTATACCAAATATAACATTTAAATTTAATCAATTCCGGCTTACTTTGAGATTGCCTCCTCATTTGTGATTAGTAACCGCCCTAAATCCCTTCGGGGAGAGAGGGTGGGTTATATATAAAGTTGTCGTCTTCCTCTTCTTCCTCTTCTCCTTCCTCCTCTTCATTATTATTATTATTATTATTCCCTTATTTCACCTTTTACATAGAATCCAATTCTATTCACATCTTGTAAACAATAAACAATCCTTAGTGTGGTTATCAATTCATAGTTTGCAATTTTCTGAACATTGCAATACAATTCTCTGATTAAAAGAAGAAATAAATAATAAATTGTGCATATCAAGGAATACCAAATGTGGGACACAGATTTCCCTCACCCCAATTCTAAATCCACACCTAGCCTCAGTAAGGCAAATCAAGGCATTCTGAGAAATGTGCATAAAAATGTCCTGACCCCCACAATTTTCCAAATTGATTTTGAAACACGGTGGCACAATTATGGAACCAAATTAAAAGCAGACAACGACAATGAGGAAGGCTCATTCATTTTGAGTCATAATTCATCATTGATATCCCAGCAGAACTTGAAGGGCAGCTTTTCCATCCGTTCCTTGAAAACACTGTCAAACCTTTCATTCTGTGCCACCGTCATTGTGTTTTTCCAGTCTCCAATAGTACCTGGTGCAGAATTCAGAAAGAAAGGGAGAGATAGTCTTCATTATCTGGTGAAAGGAATGGTGGAGGTAAAATCATCATCCTTATTATGGAGGATGATTAGTGTACCACTATCTTACAAGTGACTCATGTCCCATGACTTTTGTTGCCTCAGTTAGAAAGGCTACAAACTTTAAAACAAAATCTTGCTACCAGTATAAAAAAAACTCTAAAATCAGGACAGTAAATAAATAACAACACTAAAAAAACAGGGGAATTCCATACAGTAAACAATCAGGGCCAGCTAACACTTCACAATAAAGGATTCCTCCAGACAGGAAGCTTCCCAACAGTCCGGTTAGAGCATGCTTACTCACCCGGCATAAGCGCCGAACCGGTTTGGGTTCTCCCGAAAAGGCTTATGGAGCCTGACAGGTTCCTGAATGCTCTGAGGGTTCTGGAGCGTATTAGTGGCTCAATCAAACAGTAAGCGAATTTATGGAAATAGCTTTTCAGAGCTATTTTGCATTCAAGATCACGCTGCTCCGCCGGGACCTCCCTGCCACAATTGACACAGTGAGTGAACTTGAGAATCCGTGGCCACTCGCTGGGCCCACACTCGACTGGTTTATTCTGCTGGATGTAGAGGCTGTTGATGGGACCATGACTACAGTTCGATCAACCACTTGCCCTCTCGACCCGTGTCCCTCTTGGCTAGTTAAATCTTGCTTGGAGGGACTACATGGTCCTTTGTTGAACATAATAAATGGCTCCCTTGATCAAGGAGTTTTTCCAGAGGCTCTGAAAGAGGCCGTGGGATCTCCGCTTCTGAAGAAACCAGACTTAGATCACTCGGTTCCCTCCAATTATCACCTGGTTTCGAATCTTCTGTTTCTGGGAAAGGTGATTGAGAGGGCGGTAGCGGAGCAACTGCAGCAGTTCCTATAAGACACAGCCAGATTAGATCCCTTCCAGTCTGGTTTTCGTAAGGGGCATGGGATGGAAACTGTGCTGGTCTCCGTTACAGATCAGCTTCGTTGCCAGATGGATCAAGGAGGATCAGCACTGCTTGTGTTACAGGACCTTACAGGAGCATTTGATACGGTTGATCACAACCTTTTGATTCACCGCCTAGCCATGGCTGGAATTAGGGGGATGGCCCTTAAATGGCTGTCCTCTTTCCTCCAAAATTGGGGTCAACATGTGGAGTGAGAAGGGTCGGTCTCTAAGAGGGCCCCTCTTAAATGTGGGGTCCCTCAGGGGGCTATCCTTTCCCCTCTACTGTTTAACATCTATATGTGGCCACTTGCCCAGCTGGTGCGAGACTTTGGGCTTGAGTGCTATCAGTATGCTGATGACATTCAACTCATTCTGAGGATGGAAGGTCGACCAGACTCCATGCCCGATAATTTCCATCAATGCCTTGAGGCCGTTACTGGATGGTTGTGTGCCAGCAGGTTGAGGGTGAATCCAGTGAAGACGGAGATCCTTTGGCTGGGTCGCCCGGACGGAGGGGTGATCCGCTTGCCCGCCCTGGATGGCGTGATATTATGCCTGTCATCTTTGGTAAAGAGTCTGGGAGTCCTTTTAGACCCTATGCTGACGATGGAGGCCCAGGCCTCCGCTGTGAGCAGAGCTGCATTTTCCCATCTGCTTCAGGCTAGGTGACTGGTTCCCTATCTGTCCAGGGGCGACTTGTCCACGGTGATCCAGGCTACGGTCATTTCAAGATTGGACTATTGTAATGCCCTCTACATAGGCCTGCCTTTATCGGTGATCCGGAAACTTAAACTAGTGCAAAATGTTGCTGCCCGGCTTCTCGCAGGGGTCTCAGCGAAGTGTCATATCACTCCAATCCTGCAGCAATCCTTGCCAATTGAGTATCAGATTACCTTCAAAGTGCTGATTCTTACCTTCAAGGCCTTATATGGCTTGGGGCCGGAATACCTGAGGGACCGCCTCATTCCCTACAAACCCCAGAGATCACTCCGTTCAGGCAACTAGAATTTACTTGAAGTTCCCTCTTTCACCTGATGTCTACTAGGCATAGAGCATTTACGATGGTGGCTCCTTACCTGTGGAATGCCTTGCCAGCGGGGACACAAGCTCTCCGAGATTTACTATCATTTCGTAGAGCTTGTAAAACTTATTTATTTAGGCTGGCATTTGAACCTTGCTGATCGAATTTTTCCTTGATTTTAATGTTATGTATTACATGTGTATATTGTGAACCGCTCCAAGCCTTCGGGGAGTGGTGGTATATAAAATTGATTAATAAATAAATAAAATAAAATAAATAAACATTATGTTTTGATGCTTAATTTATAAAATCATAACGTAATTTGACATTTAATAGGCTTTTCCTTAATCCCTCCTTATTATCCAACATTTTTACTTATCCAATGTTCTGTTGGCCTGTTAATGTTGGATAAGTGAGACTCTCTTGTACTTCTCTTGGCTACTATCAGCAACAGATTTACCTTTGCAGAAGAAATGTCCTTTGCTGTGATCTAACACATCAGAAGGTAGGTTCTCAGTATTTGTTCTAGGATCCACTCTCATTCTGTCAAACGAAGCCTTAGCCATAATATCATCCACCAGCTCTTCATTCAAATTCTTTCCTAGGAAACTGCAAATTTTCAGAATGGCGCTTCTCAGATCCTGAAATAGGACATGGCTTAGTTATAACACCTTGCAGAAGTGAAGATCTCCAGGGTCATATCTACACTTACCAGTGAGGTTGGTGTGTGTGCAGATCAGCCCTACAGTGGCTAAATGCGATATGGGGCTGATCTGGTTTACCCCAAGTCAAAACAGGTGGGCAAGGTCCCGTCCCCCCCCCCCACCAAAAGAAAGTAGGTAGGCAAGCAGACTCAATGCAGTGTCCTGCTTTCGCAATCAATATACTTATTTCTGGTATTTCTACCCCATCTCTTCTCTACCCCCGAAAGGGGGACTCAGGACGGAATGATTTGATGCTGAATATGACAATAACAATAATACAACAATTAAAAGAATAAATAAGCATTAATTAAAACAATAAAAACACTAAATACAGTATCATCAGCTTTTTCATCATTTCAGTCAAATTCCAACCATTTTAATGTTATGTATTACATGTGTATATTGTGAACCGCTCCAAGCGGTTCACAATATACACATGTAATATATAACATTAGCAATAATAAGTGCTAATTATATCTGCTGTCCAAAAGCCTGGGATGGTCTTAAATTACGAAGTGGGACGTAGAGAGCAATGTGTTCAGACAAGTAAGCTGGGCCAGAAAGGCTCCAGGGCTGACTAATTTCATAGATCTGACAAGTTAGTAGGAATTGTTTAGTAACAAATATTCAGTATGGAACCTACTTTGTGAGAGGTTAGAAAGGAATTTTAGAGCTCTCCTTCAACATCCCCACTTTTCTTTAAACAACAGATATAAATCCAACCATCATTGCAAGGGTTGGCTCAAAAAGCCTGACTTGGCCACAGTGGTCCACACCTTAGTTACATCTGGAATGGACTACTGCAATACACTCTACGTGGGGCTGCTTTTGAAGATGGTTCGGAAACTGCAGTTAGTGCAAAGGTTGGCAGCCGGATTATTAACTGGGGCTAGCTAGAGGGAACATACCACGCTCCTATTAAAGCAGCTCCACTGGCTGATGACAACTTTCCGGGCCCAATTCAAAGTGCAGGTTATTACCTATAAAACCCTATAGGTCCAGCCTACCTTCAAAACTGCATCTCCTTCTATGAACCGGCATGGGCCCTAAGATCTGCCAATGAGGCCCTTCTCTCAGTCCTGCCTCCATCTCAAGTGTGGCTGGTGGAGATGAGAGAGGGGGCCTTTTCGTTGATGCCCCCCCCTTTGGAATGCTCTCCCTAAAAAGATTAGGGCAGCCCCCACTCTTCAGGTTTTTTGGAAACACCTGAAAGCATGGCTTTTCACACAAGCCTTTAACCATGTTTATAGATTATGATCACTATGCTGAAAGACTTAGTGAGTGGTCACTTCTGCACTTTATGAGGATTAATATTGCATATAACTACTATTTTTAGCTCGCTGGGGGGTTTTTTTGTATCTTTTACATGGATAGGGGTTTTATTATTGTTTGTGTGTAATTGGGTTAATTTTATTGTTGTTAATTTTACCTTTTGTATTTTGTTGTATTTGTATTTTGTTGGACTATTGAGTGCTCTCTGTGAGTGGCCCTGATGGTGGCGGGATACAAAAAAATGTATTTTTTCCCCCCATCATATCCCAAAGCATGTGCTTTTCTATGGGATTCTTTGATTTGTGAAGGAAATCTAATTTTAATTTGCAATTCTGAACACTCATAAACACTATCGCTTGCTATTTCTGGGTCTTTCCCTGCTGACTCTGCAGAACATTGAAGATACCATTGAAACAGGAAAGGCCTGCTAAAGAGCGTATACATGTTTGCTTGTTCCCAAATTTTCTCTGACAAAGTCTGGTTGGTTTTCTTGGAAAATAAGGAAAATTGTGTCGGGAGTTTACCTTCTTCATTTCTTCATAAACAAGAAACAGAATATTGAAGTTGTCCTTCTGAGCATACCAGCCTTCTATGTGGTCTAACCATAAATCACCCACTACTTGTAGAAGAAAGAATAAATGTTAGTGCAGTTTTAAAAGGCATTTGGCATAATTGGCCAATTTTAAATTTGAGCTTTGATCTCAGTCATCAACTGTGACCCCATGTTCAAGATACTACCTAAACATTGGGAAGAAATTTCTGATGGCAAGAGCTGTTTGGCAGTGGAATATCCTGCTTTTTATTATAGTGAGCTGGTGTCTCCTTCTCTGGAGATTTTTTAACATAGGCAACATGGCCATCTGTTGGGAGTGCTTTGATTTCATGTTCCTGCTCGTTGATTTCATGTTCATGTTCTTCTTTGGACTGGATGGTATAAAGATGCCACCAATTTGTAACGAAGCCACCAATTTGTAAAAGTTAGTAAAGGAGCTACCACTTTGTAACCATTTATTAAATTGATAGCATAACTAATAGCTTGTAATGTTGATTTGGTCTTTCTTCAATGTGTAGCGTGACTTAACTTGGAAAGGATTTGTAACAGAGATCTGGCTTTAGAAGAAACTGTAGCAAGTTTATTGAAATGTAGAAGAAGCTTGATGGTTTCAATGTTTCTTAACTCTTAGAGGCACATATGTTACATTTATAACATTCTATAAACAACTCTTAGGAGGACTATTCCTTCCAGTAAACAGGTTTTAAACTTATTTTTCTTCAAACTGTGTTTCTTTCTTTAACCAATTACTTCAGATACAAGCTTATTCTTTCTTTGTGATATTTCTGTTGCAATAAAGATTCTCACTGGGTTTCTCACTACAGTAGAATCAGGCTTTCCCTGTAGTTTTTAAACTACAGACTACCTTCCTAGTTCTCACTACTACAGAACCAGCCACTCCTGCAGTTCACAGACTGCAGACTGACCGTTTTAAAACGGCTGCCCTGCCAAGTGGCAGTTGGCTCCACCCCTTTTCCATAGCAACCCAGCTCAAAGTGAGCTGAGCTGCCTACCATCCCCTCCCCAGTTATGCAACTTTAAATACTTACCCTTTCAAGTATCTATCTATAATTATACATAACTTCAGGTTAAAATTCACACTTCACCACAGATGGCCCTTGAGTTCTATAAAAAAATGTGTTTGCCATGAGTCCCCCTTGCATTACACACTGATTTTTATGTAAGAATTGCTCTTTTATGGAGATATTTTAGAATTGTCTTCCTTTCTTATAAAAAAACAGGGTGAAAGATGACAATGTGTCTGCATGTATCACACAACAATCTTGCTGACCACATTCTTGTACCTGGTACAGCTTTTGTGCCACACATAAAGACAGTTCATTACAGCAATCATAATGTATGGCATCAGTTATCACTTTGGTTGAGCCATCCTTATGAAGAAACTGCTGAAATTGGTAAAAAGGTAGAATCTGGTAAAAGGTGTCAAGTGTGGGGCTATCCCACTTATATTTTAGGAATACACCTGTCAGGTTACTTAATGTATATTCTAAGTTGGCTTCATGTATAAGTTGAGAGCAGGTTTTGGGATCAAAATTATGGATTTTGGTATGACCCATGGATAAGTAAAGGGTGATTTCACAGAGAGGGCAAATCTCCAATGCCATCTCAGGTAAACAGACCCACCTCCTGTCATTTCGCCACCCAGGTTTTCAAAGGAATCAGAAGCAGCACCTTTTTGGAGAGAGTAGATGGTGTCTATGCTTTGGTCTGCCCAGATTTTTAGGATTGATCTTTTAACACACACATATGGTTTCTGCATGTACCTGAGTGTGCACAGTAATTGTTTTTCCTGATCTTTGTTAATGTAGATAATAGGCATGGATAGAGCCTCATCGGATTACTCGTTACTTGTAATAATTTCATTAAAGTTGCCTTTTTGAAGCAATTTCGAAGCATTCAAAAAACCCAGAAGTCCCTTTGCCCTTCTGAAGCTTTTTCCGCCATTTTTGTTATGACTCAGGGAGTGAACCAGAAATGATTCAGTGTATTTTCAGCCCTCTAGCATGCTGGTAGCCTGTGAGGCTCCTTGCCTCCCCTCCAAGCCAATCAGGGGAGAAATTTTGGGGAGGGGAGGGGTTTCAGCACTGGCAGCCATTGCTATATATAAAGGGGAGCACATGGTTCAGAGGCTCATTCTGAGCTGGAAAGGGAAGGGAAAGTGGAGAAGGGGAAAGGGAAAGAGAAAGACAAAGGAAAGGAAGGTTGTGTTGAAGGGAGGTTGGAAGAAGAGCAAGCAAGCAAGCAGAAAGGAAGAAGGGGTGGGAGAATGGCTGTTGCCAGCCTGCCTTGCCGCTTGTGTGTTGTTGATGTTGGGGTTTGGGACAGGTAGGGGGCACCGCGAGGGTAGTGTGTGGGTGAGTGGCATGGGTGGAACGAGCAACACGGAGGAACCAAAGCACTCACCTCAACATTTTAAAAAGCCAATGTTGTAGCTGGTCTCTCTGTCCTCAGTGTCTTTGAGTTTGTATTGCGCATTGCCTCAAAAGAACTAGAACTCCCATCAATTCAAGCCACTCTTTGAACACAAACTCTCCTTCCCAAAGGAGTGAAATCAGCTTCAAAGGCTGTTTTTTTTTTCTTTGTTTGCTGTGAGTTGCCTAAGAAGACACTAGAAATCCCATACTTTCCTGCCTATACTTCCCTAACTGGAGAAATCAGTTCAAAACGCCCCAAAAACTCTCAGGGCTGTTTTTTTCTTTGTTTTCTGCAACTTGCCTAAGAAGACACTAAAAATCCCATACTTTCATGTCTGTGCTGTTTTTCGCGTGTTGTGTAATCGCATCCACCATCAACAAAGCTATTCGGAAATTTAGGAAAGTTCAAAAAAATTTCGAAAGAATTCAGAATTCAATTGCAAATTGAACCACCAGCGCCCCCTACATTTGAAACAAGTTTTGAACCATTTTTTTTTATCAACCAAGCCTAGGAGGTAAGGATGTATGTTTGCTATGTGATGAAAGAGACATTATTTGTCTCTTTCACATTTCAATCTTTGGTCAAATGGGGAGTGGGATGATATAGGGGTAAAAACAACCATTTAATAAATATGTATTAATGCTTACTTTTACCAGCCAGAAACCTTTCCATGAACATGTTGAAGTCTTCTATTTCTTCAAGGTGGACAGAAACTTTGGAGAAATGATAGTAGGACACCAAAACATCCTTTGGGTTTCTCATCACATAAATAACCTGCATAAAAATGATATTAACACTTTCTAGTGAGATAGAATTTCTGCTCAAATGAACGATATGCCTATCCATGGGACTTTCCCTCAAATCCAGTTCTTCTCATCCGATTTTCTGGTTTCATACTAATTGGTGCTGTTTTTATGTTAATAAATTTTAAATCTAACAATCTAATTTACAGTGAAAGTAATACACAATCAAAAATGAAGAAACAGAAGGAGGAAAAGAAAAGAAAAGAAAAGAAGAAAAAGAAGAAAAGTATAACTTATGTACAGTAGAGCTTTGACACCTCATATTCCTCATTGCAATGAACAGGAAAGTAAAAAAAGAAGTCTAACTTTACGGATCTGACTAAATAATTCCACTAAAATGACTAATAACCATATCATCAGATTATTACATAATGACATTTCTCATTGCATAGACTATAATATAATTTAATTAATTATATTATAGTCTATGCAGAGACTCTGATATAATTTAATTAATTAATTCAATGAATTGCCAAATTTCAGAGTAATGAATCCCAGAAATAAAACAGGTAACAATAATGCTACTAGCAATTATGATGCCCCATTTCTGCAAATCTTGTCCCCACATGTTTTATTTTAAATTCAATTTATATGCTAACGAAGCCAGGTGCTTTAAAAGCCAATGTTAGCATGTCATATGTTATCAGTTTGGTTTGTAGGATTTTGTCATAACTGTCAGGCAAAACCTGCGAATAGCTCACAATCCCACAACCTTCCCATAACCTGATTTCTGCAATGAGTTTATCCCTATTTTGTTATTCCTCTCTCACTCTCTCTCCCTTTCCTTTGCTATTTCTGAAATTATGGTTATTCAATATTGTAGATATATATTTTCTTTGTTCTTATTAAGTGCTGAAACTACGAAATCATTGTAAAAAGTAATAAATAATAGGCTTGGGCGGTTTTGTTCGTTAATTTCATAATTCGTTATTAATTCGTATTTAAATTAGCTTACGATCCAATATTGAGCCAAGCAGGAATTGTGTGAGGAGTAATAAAGATTCGAAACAATTTTTTCAATTTATTTCAAAATTATTTCGTAATTATTTTGTAATTATTTCAAAATTATTTCGTAATTATTTCGTAATTATTTTCGCATGTCTGATGCAAGTTTTATAGTTGTTGTTTGTTTTATCACACCAACAGTCAACAACAGAGGGAGAGGGAAGCTTCAGAAGTTCCTCCTGTCCCATTTGGAGGTTTTTTAACATATTGCGCAATCTCATCCCCCATTAACGAATCGATTCGTAATTTTACGAAATTTCATAAATTTCAAAAAATTTTAAAGGAAAATTTCGAAATTATTAAAAAAAACGAAACGCAAGGGCCCCCTAAAAACAAATCGAGTTTAGAACCAAATTTTTCCATGGTTACCCAGGCCTAATAAATAAATAAATTCAGTAAGATCAGTGCAGGAAGTTAGTGTTATGAGTACAATTGCAGAACCATGGATTGGAAAACTGGAGTAATTGAGTGAATGAAAAAAGGTGTAATACCAAAGGTGCTCATCCCAGTAGGTATCCACTATGTATAATAGCACAACTGCTGTGGAATAGCAACTTTGTGTGAAAATGTCCATAGACTAACACAATAATAATTATTATAATTATCATAATAAAACTTTATTTATACCCCTCCACCATCTTCCCGAAGGGACCCGGCACGGCTACCATGAGGCCAAGTCAAATAATTAAAATAAAGCAAAGTAACAGATGATAACATCAAATAAAATGCTTAACAATAACATAGTAATGCAAAAAATGACAATAACATTATTGAAACAAAGTATAAAATGCTAAAAGAGTTAAACAAGGGCGGGCTGGGGCAAATGCAAAGGGTAACAATTGTTAAACCCGTGGGTAAGACTGATAGATAAGATGCTGTGTCTAGTGGGAGGCTCGGGTGGGATAACCAATGAGGTTAATCTACACTGAGGGATGAGATGAAGACAAGACATATAGAACTGGTTTCTCAAAAGGAGTTACCTTGTTGTAGCTATAGCTAATGAATTAAAAAAAAATTCTTTCATTGTTCTTTTACTGCTGTCCCCTTATGGCCAAGAAAGAGCTTAACCTCTAGCTTCACTGAATCTACCTTGATACCATCTTTATCACCAAGAAAAGTAAACACCCTAACTCGCCTTCGGCTGCAAGATTATTTACCATCCTCACCCAATGAAGCAACCAGTGAGCTTTGGAAATTTCAAAGGTAATCTAATGTCTTCACCTGCTCTGAGTCCCTTATGAGGCTGAAATTTGTATTTGCAATTTTTGTCTCAGAACAGGTAAAATCAGTCCACACTGCACTCCTCTACTACTCCACACATACCTCTTCTGGGGGTGTGAGGAAACAAGCCCAAATGCTCCTGCACATGAAGAAAGCTTTCTACTTTAAAACCCATATGAGGGAAAAACTGAAAACTTTCCCTTTGGTTGTTGGCTCTGGGTAGACAATATTGCAGTTAAAGCATTTCTAGCATAGCACAAATTAGAGAGCCCAGCAAACAACACAGATCATGTGGTGATGTCATCTATTGTCAAAGTAGCTCGCCAAAACATAACAGCATATAACTGAAATTTTAGTTCATCTTTTACATCAACACTTTCAAATTGTTTTTGACTTACGACAACTCTATGATGATCCTATCAATGTGCTGTTCAAAAGAATTTTGTCTTTACCTTCCTCTGAAGCTGAAGGAGAGTGACTTTCCCAAGATCCTGGCTGAGCAGGGGTTCAAACTCTGGTCTCAAGAGCAATAGACTAAAGCTTAAACCACTGTGCCTCACTGGCTTTCACAAACCTTCAAATGGCTCCTAGAAATGTTATGGTCAAAATTTACCCTCTGCAGGCGCTCTACTTCTGATAAATTCAGTGCAGTTAGCAAGTCATGACATTTAAGTAAACATAACAATAGAAGTAGTAGATTCTACCTTGGTTCTCCCATTACTTAGACCCTTTGGCACAAATTGGGAGTGCATGTGGGTTGTAAAGAGACGAGGTGATGGACAATTGGCATAATCAATTTTGCGGACCTTATATTCCAGGAATGGAGCTCTGTCCAAGAGGTCCATGCTTTCAGTTCCATTTCGATGGCCTTCATGATAGATCATGCTCAAAATATGCTGTGTCCAAATGGTGCCTATGTAAATAAGAACAACCTGATTCATTCCAGGGCATCCAGTTACCTTTTATTTTCAAGGTTCAGATTGCAATGCTTGAGGAGACAAAAAGGAAGTGTCTGAAGCAAAGGCAACATTGGCTGAATCAGATCAGAGCAACAGAGGATAAGATACAGAAGATTCAGGATGATACTTTCAAGCACTAATTGTGTATCAATATTCATAAAATTATAGAGTTGGAAGAGAATACAAGGGCCTTCCAACCCAACCCCCTGCCTTTCTCCCAGTAAAGGGCCCAAAGTGATAAATGCTGAGGTAGAAGATGGTTTTGTTTGTTTTTTATGTTTATTTCTATCCCATTTTTTCTCTCCATATGGAAACTTAAAGCAGCTCACAACTAAAAGCATTCCATTACAACTTAAAATATACAGATATAAAAACAGCAACTTAAAATATACTGATATTAAGCAACATAAATATTAAAAGAATCGAGGTTAAAAACATAAAAGCATATAAAATCACATCACAAAAACACGGTAGCCCTTGATGGTCTGTAATACTTGAGGAGACAAAAAAAGAAGTGTCCGACGCAAAGGCAATATTGGCTGAATCAGATCAGAAGATACAGAAGATTCAGGATGTTATTTTCAAGCACTAATTGAGTATCAATATTCATAGAATCATAGAGTTGGAAGAGAGTACAAGGGCCATCCAACCCAACCCCCTGCCTTTCTCCCTGTAAGGGGCCCAAGGTGATAAATGCTGACATAGAAGATGGTTTGTTTGTTTATTATGTTGAATTATATCCTTCTTTTTCTCTCCATATGGAAACTCAAAGTGGCTTACAATTAAAAGCATTTTAATACCACTTATAATATATAGATCTAAAAACGACAGATGATTTCCCCTGTGGGATGGGGCCAAAGTAAGTCGGGTGACGCGGGGTGTAGGACGACAAGACTCCACAGATTTGCCACAATGTGTGGCGAATACATATGTTAATGTGATGAAGTCTATAGTCATTTTCCAAAAATGGTGATATGGTATAATGGGTGCCTATGCAATGAAACTTTTCCCCCACACAAAATATTACAAATCTTACCTGATTTTGGATAAGAAATTATAAACACATCACAGTCTCTGATTTCGAAATTTATTTATTTATTTACAGTTTTTATATTCCACCCTTCTCAACCCAAACAGTCGGGCGCTCAATCCCAACTTGGGCTTCAAACTTGCCACCTTTCTTTTGGCAGTGATTTATTGCAGCTGATTAACCAGTTTTGTTATCAACACAAATCCCACAATGAATAAAAGTACTATTTTGCTTTATCTTCTCAATGCACAACTTTGACCTGAGTCTGTCCTTCTTCGCTTTGTCTTTCTATGTTCTTTTTCTGCTTCTTTACATTTTGATCTCAAAGTGTATTTTCTTTGTTCAGTCATAGGCACTTTCCAAAAATGGAGGGAACAACATGAAGATACCAAGAAAGTATGTTAATTCACATATGTTTGCTCCATCTCCTGCCCCGACATCCCTTTGTTCTGAATATCCTCTTCCACTCTCAAAATGTTGATTCAAGAATTAGCCAGCTAGAAATCCCTTGCTGTACAGCTGTGACTTGTGGCATAGAATAATGGATTCCTATGTAACAGAACATTTTTTCAGAGATAAATATTACAAATCTTACCTGATTTCATATAAGAGGCTACAAACACATCACTGTCTCTGATTTCAAAATCCCGCAATGAATCAATGTATTCTGGGGTAGTCAGACTTTGAACAAAATAGGATCCTTTGTGTTTGAACACATATTTTTCTGACGGCTCCATTCTTAGTGCATAAAAATACAAAACATAAAAATAGTTCTGATTGAATAGCATGAGAAACAATGAAGAATATATGGAGGAATTGATTCATTCCTTTTAAACATTAGTGAAATCCAGTTAGTCTTCCCTATTTGTGCTCACATCTGGATCTGGTGACTTAATGATGGGGCAGAGGGCACAGAAACACCAATTGCCATCATGCCTGGCTGCAGTGCTACCTCTGAAAGGCTTCGCTAAACTCTATAGAAGCGACTGCTGGAAGATTAAAACTATTAAAACTATATTAACTGAACTTCCCTACCTCCAACCCAGAAAAATCTCAGAAGCTATTCTTTTGCTGCTTGGAATTCGAAAATATACTTGCCTAAGTAGCAGGGGAAAATATGGCCAAATCAATTGATTCTAAAATTACAAGCGTAATGGATCTTTCTTTCTATCTTTCTTTCAAGTCTGGCTTGTTCTTTTGCTTTTTCTAAAGAGTTTCCCTTTGGTTTTCACATTCTGACCTTTTAAAGAAACTTGTTAATTAAGAATATAACATAGGAAAGCACTTACTTGTATGAAGAGAAAAACTTTGTCTTGGCTACAGGCTTATCTTGCTGGTTGGAACTGGACCGAGCTCCAAAAAGAGAAGCCTGTGATTTTAAAATCATCTTGTGAACGGCGCTACCTGGTGGCGTAATGGCCCTTGTTTTGAAATGTGGTCTCTCTCCCTGCTTCATAATGAGCTGGACCAGGAATGATTTCTCTCTCCCTGCTATAGAAGGATATATATGTATATGTGTGTGTGTGTGTGTGTGTGTGTGTGTGTGTGTATATATATATATATATATATATATATATATATATATATTGGAATTTATTTTTAATATTAATTCTTTGGACTATTTGAAATATCTGAGCAGCTTGTCTGAAATACTATTGGATGATTTCACTTTTATGTAATTTTAAAAATGCATTTACAGAATTAGATTTTTAAAAATTGAAATCCCATGGATCACTGGTCTCCTTAGATTTGGATTGCTTAATCTTAAAAGAAAATACATTACTGGTCTTTACCAAATCATTGTTTTTTTACCTACACCACCCTGAAATCTTTGGGTTGAAGGTTTTATTTCTACATTTGGAAATGAATTAAATTAATACATTTACTCAGTATATTCACAATACCAACTGCTTTTTGCTGCTTCTTCAATTGTGATCTAGTCTCTGTATTTTCTGTATCATTTCATTTCACACACTATAAGAAACAAATTAATAAACTTTTATGCTACCATTTAATAATTCAAGCTTGTGGTGCTTCATTACTGTATTACTGCATTACTGTATTAACTTTACGTAAGTTTTCAAATTTCAGTTCAGGTTGAACATCTTAGTAGAAAAATACATTCATATCAAATGCTACTTTTAATTTCATTAGATGGATTCAAAGTGTAACATCTTTTTTACATTTTTAATTAGTTCTTATCATTGTGAAATTTTAGCTGTGGAGACACAGTACGGTACAGTGGAACCTTGACTTAAGAACGTTTCAGTTAAGAGCTGTCACTCGGCCTGGTTTCTCTTTGACATACAAGCAGCATTTTGACTAAAGAGCTAGTGCCAGAGGGACTAGAGTACAGGGCTTCAAGGAAGCAGCCTCTGTGCCTCATGTTCTTGTCCACTTTGGGAGATTGCCATTAGCTTTGCTTTTGTCTGTTAGTTGATTTTGTGTGTTTTTTATTCCTGGTATGTTTGGCTTCACGAAGAGGGAGAGGGAGAGTGATCAAGGGAGGGAGGGAGGGAGGTTGGAATGAGTACAGTATAAAGAAAATGATGCTTCTGCCTCTTCACTTTGCGTTTCCTTGCCATGACCTTGTGCTTCTACAATTTTAAAGTTCACCTTTCTTTTTTATTGTTCCTTGGAATGTGAAGTTTTTGCCTTGCTGTTACACTGGCTAACACAGTTTGTTGCCTCAAATGTGCTTCCTTCCTTTGTGCTTCTACCATTTCAAAATTGATCTTTCTTTTTTATTGTTCCATGTTAATGTGCATTTATACATTGTTGTTATTTGTAAAGTTAATTTTATTATTTATAAACCATAACAAAAATGGGGGATGGAATAGATTAATAGCATTTCAATGGGAGAATTGAGATAAGAGCAATTTGAGTTAAGACCACAGTCACAGAATGAATTAAACTCTTCACTCAAGGTATCACAGTTCAGAATAAATATAATATGAAATGCTATGTAAAATGGGTGTGTCTCTTAAAACCAAACTGCACAATGCATCACCTGCATGAGTGTTTCTAAAGCCCCCTTTTTGAATCAGGTCTGCAAGCTATGTGAATTTTTAAATGAAATCCTTTCTACATCTGTGCCAAAAATTCACTTTCAAAAGCTCACATTGGTCGCAGAAATACAATTTCTAATGACATCAAGACAATACATTAAGGAAGAAAGTGAGATGCCAATGTAACAATAAAATAAAATATTATTTTATTTTATAATAAAATAATAAAATAAAATAACAAAATATTTCATCTTTTAAGTTATTGCATTTAGGCAGCTACAGTTATATAAACAGATAATTCTAACAATTATCTTTGTAAATACTTTTCTTTTTAGGTCGGCATTGGCTCACTGACTAGTGTTGCTGAAGAAATTTCATTTTGACATTGAAATTTACATTTTTCAAACAATATAGAATATATAATACAATTTATCTGTTTTTCTTTGTAATTATCTTGTAGTGCACTGACCATTATACCAAATATAACATTTAAATTTAATCAATTCCAGCTTAATTGGAGGGATTGCCTCCTCATTGCTGATTAGTAATCATCCTAAATCCCTTCGGGGAGAGAGGGTGGGTTATAAATAAAGTCATCATCATCATCTTCATATTATGATATTATTCCCTTATTTCACCTTTTACATAGAATCCAATTCTATTCACATCTTGTAAACAATAAACAATCCTTAGTGTGATTATCAATTCATGGTTTGCAATTTTCTGAACATTGTAATACAATTCTCTGATCAAAACAAGAAATACATAATAAATTGTGCATATCAAGGATTACCAAATGTGGGACACAGATGTCTCGCACCCCAATTCTAAATCATCACCTAGCCTCAGTAAGGAAAATCAAGGCATTCTGAGAAATGTGGATAAAGATATCCTGACCCCCACAATTTTCCAAATTGATTTTGAAACACGGTGGCACAATTATGGAACCAAATTAAAAGCAGACAACGGAAATGAGGAAGGCTCATTCATCTTGAGTCATAATTCATCGTTGATATCCCAGCAGAACTTGAAGGGCAGCTTTTCCATCCGTTCCTTGAAAACACTGTCAAACCTTTCACTCTGGGCCACCGTCATTGTGTTTTTCCAGTCTCCAATAGTACCTGGTGCAGAATTGAGGAAAAAAAGGAGAGATAGTATCCATTATCTGGTTAAAGGAATGGTGGGGGTAAAAATCATCATTCTTATTGTGGAGAAGTGAGGATGATTGGTGTGCCACTATTTTACAAGTGCCTCGTGTCTCTTGTTGGCTCAGATAGAAAAGCCACAAACCTTAATGGAACCATAAGCAGGAATTCTTGGGATCTCCTTAAACTTATGAATGTGGAAACTGTTCATTCAAAATACAGAGAACCACTTATTTTCCAAGACTGCTTCATGGTTCATATGATTCAACTACTTGTTATGTTTGCCTAATGATTAAACTAGTAGTGTGTGCACATTTTCTTTCTAAATGTCTTTTTTCAGGCATTATCCTTCCAGAGCAGCTCTTCCCCTTTTGAAATGCTTACAAAGGGGCCCTGTGCTGTTTTTGATTTTAAGAAAACAAAGCATTTTTTTTCAAAAACAGAAGTGAACATGCATGTACTTTGCTTCTTTTTATTAAAAAAGTATGTGATGTTTGTGTTGTTTCTGGAGAGAATTAGATAGAATCCACAATAAGAGAAACAACATTAAGCATACTTCATCATAATGAAACTCAGTTTTTAAAAGTCTAATAGAATTTGCATATTCCTAAAACACAACACAGTAGATACCAGGTTCGCCTGTGTGATATTCACGTAAATATTTCTCTTGGGTGCTGTCAGCTAGAGATTTACCTTTGCGGAGGAAACGTCCTTTGCTGTGATCTAACACATCAGATGGTAGGTTCTCAGCATTTGTTCTAGGATCTGCCCTCATTTTGTCAAATGAAGCCTTAGCCATAATATCATCCACCTGCTCTTCATTCAAACTCTTTCCCAGGAAGTTGCAAATTTTCAGAATGGCACTTCTCAGATCCTGAAATGGACATGGTTTAGTTATAACACCTTGCAGAAGTGAAGATCTCCATGGTCATATCTACACTTACCACTGAGGTCAGTGTGTGTGTGTGTATCAGCCCTACAGTGGCTGAAAGCCACATGGGGCTGATCTGGTTTAACCCAAGGCAAGGGCAGTCAAAACAGGTGGGCCAGGTCCCTCCCACCAAAAAAAAGCACGCTGGCACACAGGCTCAATGTGGTGTCCTGCTTCAGCAATCAATTTGAAGGCTCCAGAGCAAGATCTGACAAGATAGTAGGAATTGTTTAATGACAAATATTCAGTAAAACAGCTGGAACGCACTGAACAGGCTGTGCTCTGGCACCACAAGATGCAAAGCTAACCTTAAAAATGTGGCTACAAACTGGAGTTCACGACATGCAAGTGTGGAAGAGAGCAAACCACAGACCACTGACTACAATGCAACCTGAGCCCTACCACATTCACAATGGAGGATTTCACTGTGACACTAGAGGCACTCCAAGTGGCCAGCTTCTGGCCCAATTAAGTAAAAATCTTCTCCTTGCCATTAATTAAGGACATACTAGCTCACTTGTCCAAAGGGAAAATTTTTACTAAATCGGACTTGCAGGAAACCTATTTCTGGGTTTGAATAAAAGAGGGAGATGAGTGGAAAACAGCTTTTAACTGTCCCTTGGGTCAATGACAATATAAAAATTTTATCTTTTGGGTTATCAGGTGCCTCTAGTGTATTTATACAATTGATAAGTGAAGAATTACACCCTTTTCTGTTCAGGGGAGTTCTAGTTTACTTGGACAACATCCTTATAATTTCTGAAAATATGGAAGACCACATTAAATTGGTCTGTCAAGTGTTGCAAAAGTTGAGAGAAGCACAGCTTTATGCCAAATTATCCAAATGTGAATTCCACAAATCTGAGTTGTTTTACCTAGAGTTCCATATCTCCTGGGAGGGGGTGAGGATGGACTCAAGCAAAGTACAAGATGTGCTAGATTTGAAGGCACACCAAACAAGAAAGCAGCTCCAGAGTTTTATGGTATTCGCCAACTTTTACAAGTAGTTCATGAAGGACTTTACACAAATTTCCATGCCCTTGACAGAATTACTAAAAAAAAAAAAAAAAAGGAAGAGAGCTCCAGGGGCTTGTTTAAATTGGACTCCTCAATGCCAAGAGGCTTTTGTAAAGTTAAAACAAATGTTTACTCAGCAACCAGTGCTTGCACACGAAGACGCAGAACAGCCCTTTGTGATCCAGTGTGATGCTTTGCACGTTGCATATGGAACTATACTGTTTCAAAAGACATCGGAAGGAGTTTTAAAACCATGTGCTTATTTGTCCAAGACGTTTTCAGATACAGAAAGGAGGTGGCCAGTGTATGAGAGAGAGGCATTTGCAGTAAAAGATGTACTGATGACATGGAGGTATTTTTAGAGGGGGTAAAACACCCCTTCCAGGGTGTTTTGAAATCATTACACCCCCCCCTCCCCCTGTGATGGACCCAATTTTTTTTAGCAGGTTTAACTTTACACTGAACGTTCTTCCAGAGAAAAGTATTTGTATGGCAGATGCTCTCTCACATACACCTCAGCATAAAAGTCAACCACAAGATGACATTGGGTCAATTTTCACAGAAAAAACAAGTAGGGTTAGTAGTTAAAACACAGCCCTTGGCAGCCCTCTAGGGAACCCAGCCAGGGCTCCCTCAGAGTGGGAAAAGGCTTTCCAAGCTCAGTATAGTTCTGACCCCTGGTTGCAGGATCGTGCAACTGCAATCACAGAGAAATCGGGCTTTTGGTACTACAAGGAGAAATTATATGTCCCGGGAAAATTGAGGGGGCAAGTTCTCAACCAAGCACACAATCACAATAAAGGTAGCTACATTCACCTGGAGTGTGAGTACCTGTTAATATATATAATATAATATATCAATATAATATAATTTTATATATATATATATATATATATATATATATATATATATATATATAATACCAATATAAATAAGATAAATATAATATAAAAATAAAAATATAAATAGTATATATTTATATAATAGCTAACAAAAGGACATGTAGCATAACACCAAGTTTTTAACTTTGCGTTTTTAAATACATTATAACTGCACCCTCAATTTGCTTCTGACACAATGAATAAATAAGGCACCTACTTTGTGGGAGGCTACAAAGGAACTTTATAGCTCTCCTTCAACATCCCCGCTTTTCTTTAGGCAACAGATATAAATCCTACCATCATAGCAAGAGTCTGTTTGTAATTTCCCCATCATATTCCAAAACAGGTCCTTTTATATGGAATGCTTTGAATTGTGAAGGAAACCAAGATTTAATTTGCAATTCTGATCACTCTTAAACACCATTGCTGCTGGGTCTATCCTTGCTGACTTTGCAGAACATTGAAGACACTATTGACACAGGAAAGGCTGTGGTTGTTCCCAAATTTTCTCTGACAAAGTTAGGTTGCTTTTCTTGGAAAGTTGTGTTGGAATTTTACCTTTTTCATGTCTTCATAAACGAGAAACAGAATATTGAAGTTGTCCTTCTGAGCATACCAGTCTTCTATGTGGTCTAACCATAAATCACCTAGCACTTGTAGAAGAAAGAATAAATGATACTGCACTTTTAAGAGGCATTTGGCATAACTGGCTGACAGTGCTGTGTCATTAATTGTGGACCATTGGGGCTAGACATTCTCAAAGGCTTGTCCAAACATCCAAGTCTTCAATTCCCTCCGGAAGGACAGTGTGGGGGTCTGCCTAATCTATTGGGGAGGGCATTCCAAAGCCAGGGGGCACCACTGGGAAGGCCCTCTCTCCCGTCCCTACCAACTGCGAGAGCAGATTAAGTCAAGAGCAGGTTTGGGGATCAAAATTATGGATTTTGATATCACCCATGGAAAAGTTAAGGGTGATTTCACCAAGAGGGAAAACCTCCAATGCCATTTCAGGAACATTCTACTACCACCACCACCCCCCCCCCCCCCCCCCCCACACACACACACACTGCCATTTTGCTTCCCAGGCTTTCAAAAGAGTTGGAAGCAGCACATTTTTGGAGAGAGTAGACAGTGTCTATGCTTCAGTCTACCCAGATTTTTAAGATTGATTTTTCACACACACACACACACACGGTTTCTGTGTGTACCTGAGTGTGTATGGTTAATTTTTTTTCCTGATCTTTATGAAGCAAGGATGTCTGTCTGCTATGTGATGAAAGAGACATTATTTGTTACTTCACATTTCAATTTTTGATCAAAGGGTGGTGGGAATAATATCGGGGTAAAAACAAATCATTTTCAAATATTAACACTTACTTTTACCAGTTAGAAACCTCTCCATGAACATGTCAAAGTCTCCTATTTCTTCAAGTTGGACAGAAACTTTGGAGTAATGATAGTAGGACACCAAAACATCCTTTGGGTTTCTCATCACATAAATAATCTGCATAAAAATGATATTAAGAATCTTTAGTGAGATAAAATTTCTGCTCACATAAAATTGTGCCTATCAATGGGACTTTACCTCAAATCCAGTTTTTCTCATCATATTTTCTGGTTTGATACTAATTAACATTGTTGTTGTTATGTTAATAAAATTTAAAACTAACAATCTAATTTACAGTGAAAGTAATATACATTCAGAAATGAAGAAACAGAAGGAGAAAAAGAAAAGAAAAAGAAAAGTATAACTTATGCACAGTAGAGCATTGGCACCTCCTATTCCTGACTGCAATGAACAGGAAAGTAAAAAAGGGAAAAAAATCTAACTTTACAGACCCAACTATATAATTCCACTAAAATGACTAATAATAATAATTCTAACTTTATTTTTGTACCCCACTTCCATCTCCCTGAAGGGTGGCTTACAAGGGGACAAGCCCAAAATTGCAGATAATAAAAGAAATACATTAAAATCAATAAAATAAAAACTTAACACAAAGCATCATCATCAAACAATCTTATGGCTGAGATAAAAGTCAAAGCTGGGTTCAGGCTCAAGTAAGTACAAAGATTCCTAAATGGAGTCAATAGAAAGTGCGGAATTCAAATGAACAGGGGCTAGGGGACATCCTTAAAGGAAAAGTGTCGAGGTAACTAATAGGAGGGCCAAAATAAAGTGCAGGGCTTAGAATAGGATCGAGATAGTTCTCTGGAACAATTTTCTTTGCTGTTTTCTATGGGGAAAATGTATAAATTCTGTGCAGAACAAAACACAGACTTTCTCATAACATAATGAAAATTCCTAAAATTACTCATTGTCTGCGAAAGAATTTCCCTGCTATCTTTACCATTAAGAATACGACTGAGCCATGCTAAATCTACAGTTTCATAACAAAACAAGGTACAGTGGTCCTTCGTTACTTCGCGGGTTTTTTTAAAAAAAGAATTTAAGTAAGGAGGGAACACTGAGTGAAAGAGAGAGGGGGGCACCTCGTTGCCACTCCCTCGCCCTCCTTACCTTCCTCTTCCTCCTACTCATCGCCACCTGGACCCTTTGCTACCGCTTGGGCCCCGTGATTGAGGAGGTGTCGGAGGTGTTGTGGGGCCCAGGTGGCAACAAGGAGAAGGAAGAGGAAGGTAAAAAGGACAAGGAGGGAAGAAGAGCCACCCCTCACCTTGCTTACTTTCCTCTTCCTCCTCCTCGTCGTGACCTGAGCCCTCTTGCCACCACTTCGAACCCACGATTGAGGAGGTGTTGGAGGCATCGTGGGGCCCAGGCAATGACAAGGAGGAGGAAGAGGAAGGTAAAGAGGACAAGAAGGGAAGACGAGCCACCCCCTCACCCTCTTTACCTTCCTCCTCCTCCAAGCGTTGCGAGGCCCAAGTGGCAGCAAGGGGCCCAGGCAGCAACGAGGAGGAAGAGGAAGGTAAAGAGGGTGAGGAGGGAAGGTGAGGGGGAGTCCCTACTTTGTGGAATTTCACTTATCATGGGTGGTCCTGGAACGATAAGTGAGGGACCACTGTCGTTATTTATTATTTATTTATTTGTGATATTTTTATCCTGCCCTGCTCAAGCCCGAAGGTGACTCAATGCAGCTTACAGATTGGCAGCTTTTATTTTTAATTTACATCTCCATAAGTCTATCAGGGACCTATGCCAATAAGATTTTGTGATGAATCAAAACTCTATACATATTTACGGCAGTACCAAATTTCATTATTTCATATTAGAATGTACCACAGTAGTTGTTTATTGAAATAGGCTAAACATCAATTCTATGTGAAATAACTTGTGCTTACAGATATGGAATTGCACTTGAAACAAAACTGGCAATTAGCAGAGTTTCATACAAGGTTCACAAATGAATGCAACTTTAAATTGGTTAAATTGGGAAATACTTAATTTTCAAGTTAACTCCGGTTGTCCCTACAGTAAAGTAATCTAATGTCTTCACCTGCTCTGAGTTCCTTATGAGGCTGAAATTTGTCTCAGAATAGCTAAGCTCAGTCCACACTGAACTCCACTACTACTCTACATATATCTCTTCCTGGGATGTGAGGAAATAAGTGCACATGCTCCTGCACATGAAGAAAACTTTCTACTTTAAAACCGATATGAGGAAAAAACGGAAACCTTTCACTGCAGCACCCAAAAATACATTTTCCTTTACTGTTCACACTTTTCAGTCTTAGGAATTTATTTTATTTATTTATTTATTTTATGCGCTTGTATACCGCTAATATCTCAGCCTAAGTCGGCGACTCATTGCGGTTTACAACAGAATTAAAAAACAGTATTCAATTTAAAAACATAGAACACATATACAATACAAATTATTGGGCCACCAATAATAATTCCGTGCATCTCGTAGCTCAAATCCCAATCCAATATTCGGCGTCCATGATTACCAGTCCTTTAATCATCAACATTCGATTGCCACAGCTAACCGAATGCTTGTTTAAACAGCCATGTTTTCAATCTCTTCCGAAACACCATCAGCGAGGAGGCTGATCGTACCTCTAAAGGGAGGGTGTTCCAAAGCCGAGGGGCCACCACAGAAAAGGCCCTGTCTCTCGTTCCCGCCAGCCGCACTGAAGCAGGCGGGATAGAGAGCAGGGCCTCTCCAGAAGATCTTAGGGTCCTGGCGGGCTGATAGGCAGAGATAAGTTCGAATAGGTAATTTGGGCCAGAACCGTTTAGGGCTTTATAGGCCAATGCCAGCACTTTGAATTGAGCCCGGTAGCAAACTGGCAGCCAGTGGAGCTGGTGCAGCAGAGGAGTTGTATGCTCCCTGCGCTCCGCTCCTGTTAGTATCATGGCTGCCGAGCGTTGGACTAGTTGGAGCTTCCGGGCCGTCTTCAAAGGCAACCCCACGTAGAGAGCGTTGCAGTAGTCTAAACGGGATGTAACCATAGTGTGGACTACTGTGGCCAAGTCAGACTTCCCAAGGTACAGGCGCAGCTGGCGCACAAGCTTTAACTGTGCAAATGCTCCCCTGGTCACCGCCGAAACCTGGGGTTCCAGGCTCAGCGATGAGTCCAGGATCACACCCAAGCTGCGAACCTGCGTCTTCAGGGGGAGTGCGACCCCATCCAACACAATGGCATAGACACTGAGAACTGGGCCATCTGTCGGGGGTGCTTTGAATGTGATTTTCCTGCTTCTTAGCAGGGGGTTGGACTACATGTCCAATAAGGTCTCTTCCAACTCTATGATTCCAGTTTCCATCTCTCTTATGTCGTCAACAGTCCCGTTTTGAATTCTGCCTCCCCATGACACTCACGCATGGAAACCTAAGAGCTGGCAATACTTTAATCTTACATTCATCACACGTTCAGTATTACTTTTTTTAAAAAAATAAGGAGAAACAACAATATCTGAAAGCCAAGATATCCCTTGCCTTGCACAAAGCCTCTTACATTAAAGGAAACTGACACCAGTTTAAAAACATTTCTTTCTGTGGGATAAAATTATCCTTCTCCAAACCCCATATGATACAAAAGACAGTGCTCCAGCTTAAAACCATTTCTTTCAATGGGATAATATTGCTCTGCACCAAATCCCATAGGATAGAAGAGCCTGTTCTCCAGGTTACAACCATTTCTTTCCATGGGATTATATTCCATGGAGCCCTCAGTAGCACAGTGGGTTAAACCACTGAGCTGCTGAATTTGTTGACTGAAAGGTCACAAGTCCGAATCTAGGGAGTGGGGTGAGTTCCCACTGTTAGCCCCAGCTTCTGCCAACTTAGCATTTTGAAAACATGCAAATGTGAGTAGATCAATAGTTATGGCTCTGGCGGGATGGTAGCGGCACCCCATGCAGTCATGCCGGCCACATTACCTTGGAGGTGTCTATGGACAATGCTGGCACTTCGGCTTAGAAATGGAGATGAGCACCAACCCCCAGAGTCGGACATGACTTGTCTTAATGTCAGGGGAAAACCTTTACCTTTACCTAATATTGTTCTGTCCCAAAACCCATTGGATATAAGAGGCAGTGCTCCAGGTTAAAACAATTTCTTTCCATGGGATCATATTGTTCTGCACCAAACCCCATTGGATACAAGAGCAGGGGCGGCTCAACCCATTACGCGAAGTAAGCATTTTCAGTATAGTTGATTTTGCCCAGGGGCGCTCTTGAGGTGCTCTTGGGGGAAAACAGACCTTGGCATATGCGAGTTGTAGTTACTGGGATGTATAGTTCACCTACAATCAAAGAGCATTAACCCCACCAATGATGGAATTGAACCAAATATGGAACACAGAACTCCCACAATGAACAGAAAATATATTTCAGTGATTGGTTGGGGGGGGTGGGGGGCAAAATACTGTTTGCTTACTGTTGAAAATTACCTAGGGCCGCCTCTGTACAAGAGACAGTGCTCCAGGTTATAACCATTTATTTCCATGGGGTCATATTGTTCTTCACCAAACTCCATATGATATAAGAGACTGCTGATGGTTGGACAATGAAACAGGTTGGGAAACTTTGATGGTTTCCATCCCACCTATTTTTCAGTTGGAACCATGGGAGTATAGAGCAATAAGTGGTAAGAACTCTGTACAGGATTGCTGACCCGTGTTCAGAGTTCCCTCCTTTCAGGACATTCCTGCCTCTTTTCAACCCAGGAACAACTTCTTCTCCTCCTCCTCCTCCTCCTCCTCCTCCTCC